CTTTATGTGACTTACCAGCATGGACTACCCTTTAATCAAAGAGTAGAGAGAAAGGACAAAGTTAAACCAAGTTCCCTGGGCACCGCAAATCAATCAGACTTTACAGCAAAGCCATGTAAGGGCAGACAAGAGAGTGAAACACGTAACAGGTGTAGGCAATAAAACAAATTGCTCCATCAGAAAAAATAATAAAAAAAAAATGTAAAAAAAGGAGGTAGAAGGATTAAAATGGAGTGAGGGAATGTCGCAGTCAGACCTGGGCAAAATGGTTGTTGAATCCTTTTCAAATTTGTGCTTAAACATGAGGGGCACTCGAATGTCACTTATCTGACAGGTGTTGTTTCCACATATGGGTGTGTCCCAAGATCCTAGCAGATAAATCAAGTGCTCTTCAATAAACCATTTAAAACTCGTTCAACTTTATTTTTAGCCCAGGTCTGGTGGCACTTCTTGCAGACATGACACAGGTTGCTGCTGTGGGGGATGGTCAAAGGAGAACTATGAAGGAACTTACCAGGCTGTCTGGACCAGAGTCTGGTTCTTCTCACATTCTAGGACTTGAAGGTACATGACGATAATCTGGAATCATAAAATGACTGCGTGTCACAAACAGCATGTCGAGTCTGTTCTGAGAAGAAATAGGTTGTCAAAGCTGCTTCCTGTGTGTTTGCATCGGCATGGTGCTAAGCTGCACTGCACTACACAATTTAAATAGTTAAGAGTGTGAGTTTGACTCACCTTGTGTGGATGCTTCACATGCACACAGAAGCCCAGCTCCTTCAGGACCCGCCGTTCCGCTTTGATGACTTGGTTTTTGGTATTTATGTAGTTCTGATCAAGTATCAATGAGCTTGGAGTCCTAGTTTATAAAGGAATCAAAATAAAATAATGTTTCCCCCTTTCAAAATCTAAATAAGAAAGTGCCCTTGTGATTTCTTGTACTCTTTTCTTTTTCCCGTTCCAACCAACTAAAAGCAACAGGTTAACTGCTTGCATGCCTGACAGTTTGCTGGGGTTTGAGGACTCCTGTGGTTCCTGTGAAAGCTTATGGGATCTGAAGACAGCCCTCAACCTCAATCTCCCCATGCCACGGCTTTAACAGAAATATCAACTTAGTTCACTGCCCACTTCACTACCTTAACGCGCAAAAACATTTGATCTTTAAACTTGAACTGGAAACTCAAACAAAAATGACCTATAACACCTATCTGTTAAGTAACCATAAGTAACCAAAACCACTGACTACATGTTATTTGTAAATATTACAACAGGATATCCAGATTTTTTTTTTTAAAATAATAAAATATGCTACTAATATTTCTTTGTCCAGTGACTACATTTCACCTTCACTGCAAACAGAATACTGTACCAACCTACAAGACATCGGCTGGATCCAGAAAACAATATCTTTCTACAATCAAAAACACATGCATACATTAAATGCATTCTAATCTATAAATCTGTTAACAGGCTGTAGGTCAACCTCCCTCTTATGAACAGTTTCCTATATTATGTACAATTTACAAGATACAGTAAATATACAGATTAAACAGAACTTGAAAAACCCCGACTGGCATCTTTTTAACAATCCAACACGGAGTTGTAATTTACCATTTAATCTTCTCAGAAACAACCACCATCAAATTTAAGATCAAAATGTAGTATTTTGATGTCTCAAATATCAGAAATTCAAACATGAATACTGTCATGCTACAAACACATGCATAGAAAAAAACTCCCGGGATCTGTGTCCACTACAAAACATGACACTTTACAGTCCAAATCCACATATAAAAAAAACAGACTTGCTACAAGTGCATCACAGTACTGTAACGCTGATTCAAATGAACTACATTATAAAGCCAAACTACAAAAAAGGTACAGATCATGCACTGACCCTATACGAAAACATAACCCGCGTGGACTACAAGCACCCAATTAACTTTCTTAAACGAACAAGGTGATATTTCTATAAAAGCCATGGGCAAAAGTTTGTGAATGGGGTTTTGCTCTTGTAGCATAAACAAAATGCATGGTGAGGAGCAGTCAGAAGAAAACTACATTACCCAATCGTCCACAGATTTGACGGACAGATACTCAAAGCTTAAGAATGAACCACAGGAGTCCTCAAGGCGCCCCGGGGGGCCAAGGGCCTTCGGCCAACCTGTCATCCCCGATCCCAGTGCCCCACGGTGGCTCAGACCACGGGCGTCTCCCACAGGAGGGGGTGGGGTGGCCCTGGGGGAGGAGAGAGACCCCCTTGCATCATGGTTGTCATGCCGACTGCTTCATCTTACGTACCATTCCACATCACCCAGGCTTTGGTAAATGTAGCTGGTCGCTGTTAGTTGGTTGCAAGGGAAAAAAGAAGCCAAGTTAATGCCAAGGCCTAAAGTAGTGACATGTACAGATTTCTATGAAGACAAAGGCACGCGCAAATAAAGTAGCGGTGCCTCGTCTTGCAATGCCTATAATGCACTCCAATTTGCCTATAATGCACTCAAGGGAGTTTGTTGAGATATCAGTTTCAGTGCAATGTCAAACTCAGATGCTATATGTGGACAATTGCGGAAACTGAAAAGTTTTCAAATGGTTTAGAGTACATGGATAAACACAGGAGCACTTTCACAGCAAAAACAGTTCAACACATAGGATAAAACCAAAAGCAAATGAAATGCAACATGTTAATGTAACAAAAAGATTTGTTATTTCAAAAATAGATAATGGATTCAATGTCGATGCTTACTTTTTGCCTCGGATCTGTCGCAGATGGTGGAAAACATTGATGACATCTCGTATTCGCCGTGGCGCTTCTTCAATCTTGGAGGCCAAGTTGATACAAGCCATTGCAACAATCTGAAAAATGATTGAAGAACAAGTTCAATAACTTAGGACAGGCCACTAGAGATGAGTGCCCACATGTAACTTGTAGCATTAGAGGAAGTGACAAAACGAGAACGGAACAGTGTTTATACAAAGGCAGCTCTCATTTCATCTCTATGAGAATTAGGCCACTGTAGGAGATCTGAGCAGGACTGCTTTGTAGCAATATTGAATATAAACAAGATCTCTGCATTATTGATTTGGTTTATCACAACAGAAGTACACATGTACAGTGAGGGAGGATTTTAATCACAATGGGACACTTCTAGAGACCAGCACGTACCAATCAAGCCTATATAGTAATAGTGATTGTAAATAAATATTACAGATCTGTCCGTCAGATGTTTAAAAATCACATTGACAAGCTAAGCAACCACCATTTGAATGTGGAAAAAAGTTTCAGGACGACTGTAACGTTAACTTAGACGTGCTTTGTTTAATAACGTTACATGTGTAAGACTTGATATCTTCCGCTAAGTTAGAATAAAAGTGTACTGATTTAGTGTTGTTTCTGTGGTTTAAGATTGTGAATTGTTTCGTATTGATCTCCAGGTTGTCCCCCCTCATTCTTGAAGCAGTTCATAAACGCTAGTAAGTTACAACGCATCGACAACATGGCTGCCACGGACGTAACCACAACGTTATGCTCGCTAACGTTATGCTAACATTGTCGAGCAACCGTCGGCCCGACAATGACTCATAAACTTAAGCTTACTCACCTCAAAACTGTGCTTGACGAAGGACTTGGAGTAGAAAAAACGATGAAAGAGCACCTGCCCCGTTGCCATTGCCACCTACCGAGAAAAACACGGAGAATGACGTCTGTACTTTGTCTTGCATAAGCTGGCCTAACCTTGCACAATGGACCGCCGCCATTTTAACTCCACCACGCCAACGTCAAAGAGCTAGCATTAGCAACCTGCTAACAACCAGGATGTGCCGACACACACCAACATGTATTAAACACAACACACACCAACATGTATAATAATAGATCATCTGACTATTTAAGAAGGGTTACCTGAGGTAGCCGGAGAAGAATGCCCGCCGACTGAATCAGTTCACATCCAAGGATGCGAAGGTCGGTCTCCGCGTTCAGGTCGAGGCCGTCGAGCATCGACGGCGTCGGCGAGAGCCTCTCCTCCGGTATGAGAGAGTTGTCGATCGTAAGGTGCACTTCCGAGTACACTTTGTCACCAATGAGAATGCCATCGTTGTTTGTGGATGCATTGGAAGATACAGAAAGAGGACCTGCGGCCATATTCACCCGAAAAACAGCGGTTAGCAGCTACACCTCGGCCAGCCTCGACAGAACTACGGCGGGGCAGGGTGACAAAGTACGTGACGTCACTGCCCTGGTGCGGCTTAAACGTTTGTGCACATCCGCGGTGGAAAAACAGTGTCGCAATATTGAGCAATTTAACCGAAACTACATGTTTAAATTCGTCACAGACTGTACTGGGATGTAACATATTTACACTACAACCTCTCATTGCTTATCAATTGTTCGCCAATTTACTTTCTTAATTTTGTTCCTGTATCCCACCTGTCTACATATTGCCACCATACACTCTTGACATAGTCTAAACAAAGTTAATAAACAGATCATATGGCCTAAAATCAACAGTCTCCACTGTTTTCCTTATTATAGATGGTCCATTAGCCCATGCCTTCAAGAGCTCCACCCTAAGACTAAAATAGTTTTTGGTCTAGAACCATAGACTATTGCCTATGGTCAAAACTGTTTCAAGACAACAAATCCTATAACATAAACATAACAAAATGTGTATTACACATGTATAAATAATATATATTTCAATTTAGTCAAGTAATGGTAGCCTATCTGTTATTAAACCGGGACTCATTTAACCATTAAATCTAGCAATACTCCGATAAACGTTGCTCCTTAAACTTCACATCACATGTCGGTAATACAAGCATCGTATTAGATTTTAATTATCGCCATTGTTATGTTTCCCACATCACCCGAAGGCAGCAGAGGAAGCGACTCACCACCTACGGTTTCTGTGACGTCTTTTACGGGAAAGTCCGGACTGCTCACCACTACCTCTAGAACATATCCATCCGCCAATTAAAAAGAAAAAAAGTAACAGCAGCAATTTAGAGGATTTTATTAAGAAATCAGTGTTTGTATGCCTAGTTTACACACAGTGTATAGGACGTCAGTAATATCTACTTTGCAAATTTAACCGTTTAAATATACAGCAACACATATAGGAAAAACAGGACAAGCTGGGTTCAGACAAATTAGCCTATTAACTTTAAGTTGACACTGGTGCCAGCCTCTGGCAGTGATTGTGATTGTGTCTATGTGAACTGCCAGTAAAGGGAACATTGTGTTCACTTAACCATTGAGCCTCTGGGATTTTACAGCCTTGAAGCATTGCAGTAACTAAATACGGACAGCAGAGAGAACTAGAGACACACCAGTTAAAGAGTTGGGAGTGAAGTGAAGCAGTGGGTTATTGAAAGATTCTGTAAGGACTCAACTAACCTTGTACCAAATCCCCACCAACAACCTGATGCTTCAGGACACTTGACTGCAATGTTTTCAGTTTTACTGCCAACAACTGACTTATGGGCCAACACCGCTGTAGTGTGTGTGTGTGTGTGTGTGTGTGTGTGTGTGTGTGTGTGTGTGTGTGTGTGTGTGTGTGTGTGTGTGTGTGTATCTACATTCACAAATATTTATTTGCTGGTTTACTGTCTCCGAAGTGTCATTGCAAGTAATTTGGTAATTTGATTCATTGCTAAATTGTTAGGGGATCTGCACCACTAAAGTTAAATATCAACTGTGGCGGATCCTGCATTATTACCTAACCTCCATCACAGCTTGCCACCAAAAAGTGATTTCCCCCTGTACATGTCTTAGATTGTTTAATTTGAATACCTGTTAGAGGTCAAACAATCTAATATTTCACCAAAAAAAAGAAGCAAAGATTAAAGTCTGAAAAATTAAGAGGAATTCAAATTAGTGAAACAAAACAAGGATTTTCCTATCCTATTAATCATCTTGTGACCTAACTGGTTTATATTATGTTCATTTTCCTAAAGAAAGTTGTTTTGAATCATTATCACAAACTAACACACGGCAATTATAAAGGCCAGGTAGTTTTCCAGCAACAAGAGCTCATTTTTTTCCTACAGGCAAATATAGTGAAATATCCACGTTTAGTCTGCTGTGTGCAGTGTACATGGGGACAGCAGGGTACATGCACAACTCACAGAGGGAGGAAACGGGGGTTGGGGGTGTCAGTAGAAGCCCAAGAGCAAATTATTGCGTAACTAACAGTTAAATACTGCCATTGATTGGTTATTTCCTGAGCTCGTATGTATTTGCGTGTGTATGCGTCTGAAGCTATTGTAATCATGCAAACATAGCATTACTTTCATAACCTATTTGAGGCTCTATGGGGTATGTAAGGGACAGACATGCCTCAGTGTTACTAATACACCGCATGAGGTGGCAGACTGAGATCTCATTGTCCCTATCATTAACCAACACCTACAACCAGCACCTTCGGCCCTCGCACTTACGCAGTTTCCACCACGACAAGAATACTGTGCATTCTTTCTCCAGTTGCCCGGGTGTCACTGATTATAGGGTGTGGGAGGGCTCACGGGACGGCAGAATTCCGGAACAACCATAACGACGCAGGAGCGAGGCGTTCAGGGACGCCCTAGTGACGAACAAGGGCTTAGTTATACACACACACGCCACTCCCTGGAGTGTGTGTGTTTTTACGAGCAACTTACACAGATTCCCCAGGGACACGTGTGCATGCCTGCCCCGCTATGATAATTACTGCGAGATCACACTCCAAATGTGTCTGCATGGCATAGCGTGTGTGTACACATGGATGTTTGTGAGTGTGGGCATTTGTTAAGGGTGATTAAATTTGAATGTTTGAGAGCGATCAAAATGTCATTCGTGTCAACGTAATTGGGCTTTATGCTATGCGCCTGTTGCGCACACATCAATATGTGGAAAGCACTTCAAGGAGTTGTGTCTGTTCAGGCCAGATCTCTCTCACACACATTGCCCATGGCTCTCTCTCAAGTACACAAACCAGGAAGGACACCAGGTCAAGGGCTACAAAGCAAGGGCATGAGCAAAGGAAAATACCCCAGTAAAAGAGCGGCGGGGGTAAAAGAGAGAGAGCTGACTGAATCAAAAATAAAGTAAGGAGAGGCTGAGAGGGAATTGCTTTTTACTAACAGGGTCCAAGGGGTTGATTACTAAAAGAAAGCCAAAGAGATTAAAAGAATATTGACACAGAGACAGATTTATGTGTGTGTGCCAGAGCTACAGAGACAGAGATGGCTGTTTGTGTTTTGAGGGAGGCAGAAAGTGTGTGTGGTCAGAGCAGACACAGTGACAGGGAGAGTGTGTGCTGTGGGAAAGAGTAGGAGCAGGGAGAGTGCGTTAACGCTTTTGACTGGCATCGAAAGAGGTTATCTCCTCATATACACGGCAGGCATGCAGGTCATGGTGGGAGGAAGTTTAACAGGGATAAAAGGAAAGGTCAAAGGTCAGAAGTGGGAAAATGTGAGCCGTTGTTGGTACAGAAACTTAAGATATTACACTGGCACTTATTGTTGAAAATGTTCTAACAATGACCACCCCTAGGAATATAGTGCACACTCTCACAAGCATGCAATGTCTTCCTCTTTCACACATAAAGGCACACACACACACACACACACATACATTGTGATGATGACCATACAATCGATGTCCTTCAATGACATTACGTGATTTCAAAAAGTGAGCGATGGTGCTGTTAGGTCAGAAACAATCGCTCGCTGGAGACACAAACACACACAAGGCCACACAGGAAGGCAACAAGAAGTCAGCTGCAAAGCACAAAAGAAAACACTACCTTTGCCACACAAAGGGAATATGTATTGTTTTTGTTGTTTTTTTTTAATAAAGGGGCAGCAAGGGATTGTTAATTGTGGAGTAGTTAAGATTTATTAAGATTCGTTAAGATTCATTTTCAAGAATTTCTCACCTGAGAATTCACAACAGTCAACATCAGGAAAAAATATGCACCACTTTGTTATGTGTGGTAGGAAAAGTTCAATTTAACCCTCTGTCAAAAATGGAGGAGGTAGAAAATTAGCTTTTAATGGCACAGTATGTTCATTGTTTTGTATTTCAGAACATCCTCTCCACACGGGCTGAGCTGTTTAGCAGATAAACGTGTGTGTGTTTTGGCAAAGACAGGAAGCGTTGGCAGGATAAAATCATTATCGTCCCACCTTTCTGTAGAGACGTGCACGGGCATCGTCTCGCAGATGGGTTGGAAAGAGAGGGACACGGGGAAGTCAGACCAAAAGCTTTCCATGTGTGCCATTAAGCGGGGGGAAATTAGTTCCACCCCCCCCCCCCACACACACACACACACACACACACTTCACGCATTTCTCCCATCATGCCAATTCATCCCAAATGTAGAGGAAGAGAGAGTGAGAGAGAGAGGGGGGTGGAAATACCTTGCATGGAGTGAATGATGTCAATAACATCCAATGCCTGAGGGAAGAGTGCTGGGTAATTGTTGTGCGTGTGTGTGTGTGCGTGTGTGTGTGTCTCTAGGGGTACTTGCCTTACAGTTTCTTTTGTGTTTGCCTGCCTTTTGTTTGTGTCCACGGGAGGCAGGGGATACGCTGTCATGCTCCTTCAACCCTACCCTTGTGACAGGCTGCCTGTGTGTGTGTCTGTGTGTATGTGTGCACATGTGGGTGTTTGTGAAATCCTGTGCGTGCCAGGGAGACTGCGTGAGTAGGTTGTGAGAAAACAAGTGCAAGTCTGTTGGAGGGTGTGGGTCCTGGGAGTTTACTGGTGTACGAACAGGACTCAGTAGTTGTGTAGTAAGTGTCTGTTTACGTGTACATATGTGTGTGTGTGTGTGTGTGTGTGTGTGGCTTTTAGAGTTCACAATTACAGGGATATTTTACTAATTTTAAAGGAGTTATAAAAATACTATTAAATTACTATTAAAAAACACTAAAATTATGTTTTATTTTGAACAGGCACAACAACTGATTGCTTTCTACAGTCTCTCCTTTCTCTCCATCATGAAATTGTCCTTACATTTGACTTCGCTCCCTGTGCTGCTTCAGTCTGGGCAGTGTCCCCTCTCCCCTTTTCCCTCCTCCTAACACCACACCGCGATTCCAGGACTCCAAACTCCTCCCTGCACCTCCTCCATCTGTGCCCTGGCCTCTGTCTTTGTCTGCGCAGGCAGGGGAGGGTCGGAGTGTGTTCGGGGGGGTTGACGAGCGAGTGAGAGGTAACCGGGCTTGACTATGCAGATGGAAATGCTTGTTCCCTGGGTTTCTCTCCATGGGGTTTGGAGGAGACCTGGAGAAGCCCTGATGAGACGCTAGGGATCGCAGCCCAAGGAGCTCCTCCTGAGCTTGAGACAGAGCAGCAGTCAGTTCCTCCCTCTCCTCACACTCCCTTCTTACTGTCTCCTGGAGTAACGCCACCTGGAGGGTGGTAAGAGAGAGAGTAGATCAAGAAGTAGTATTTGAGCAAGTCATTTAGTTTAGTATTTGAGCCTTTCTTGAATTAACATACATAAAAGGATATCTTCATCTATTTCAGGTTTAAAGAAATAATTCAAAAGTGTTAAGAAATAAGCTTATTCGCTTTCTTTACGAGAGTTTAGAATATCAATATAATGTGAACTACAAGGCTGGAGTCAGGCCGTGTTTGGCTTTGCTTAGCATAAAGACTGAAAACAGCAGCACGCTCTGGTCGAAGTTCAAAAACACACATACCAACGCCTGTAATATGGACATATAGACATTACAAGTTGTATCTCGTATGTTGAACTCGTACATTAACAGAAATGTAAAAACTAAAATTTGTGGCTTTGGAGGAGTTGTGTACTAAACAAACAGTGTTGATATCACAGTGAGGTTGGTATCATTGTGCCTATACAGAGACAAAGAACAAAAGAGCATTAGCTGTTGTTTGTAAAGAGATAACGCCAATTTTTTTGTTACATTTCTGTTTGTGTTAATCCTAACTCCAGAGCCTATGGTGTCTGGAAGCCTACTAATATCTGTAGACTGACTATGAGGCTGAATAATTGAAGGGCATTCTTTGTAGTGAGAGAGAGAGAGAGAGCAGGGCTGGGGGAGACAATAAATATGTATTTTATATATATTAATATATGAATATGGTTTGAGAGAGAGAGGAATATAATGAAAGAGATTGAGGCGAGAGACACGCAAAAAGAAAACAAACAAAGAAGGAAATTGTTTTCCTTAAAGATGAAGGGCAGCTTGGATGCAGAAGATAAAGGGGATCATTATGAACAGCTCGCTGACACTGACAAATTGGCACAAGCACAGACATAAACAACAACTGCACACAAAATGGTGCACACGGACACAACACGCTATAGACTCAAATACAGATACACACAAACTGTTCATACAAATGCAGATTAAGGGAAAAAAAGGAAAATGAAAGCTGGTCACTCCGTCCCTGGGTCCAAGGGGCTCTTCATAGCATTCTCATGAGTTTACAAGCATTTCCTACCAATATGGCACACAGCCATATATACTGCTTACTGGCTCATTTAATTACAAACACGTGCCATTTGGATGGTTTACATCATTACGTCCATCTGCTGTTTGATAACAGACACATGTTGTATGCATCCCGAAATGGTCGGGTGACAAACCTAAATACAAGAATTTAATAGACCCTCAGTGGAAGATTTAGGCATTCTGCATGAACTCCTAATGTAATTTACTCTGCACAAATCATCAGGCACTGGCTCTCACATTTGACACATACGTCCTGTTGAAACAAGAACAAAATGTGTCGATGGGGTGACGTACAGATTGTTAGAGCAGTTTTAGTAAAAGCTATATTACATTCTAATTGTCACATTTTCAAACAAGGAAGGCTTCACTCGCATCAAGAACATTACACTGTAGGCTACTTTACTGTAACTATGTTAGTCTTGCTGAACAGCAGCCACTGTGGTTACAAGTAATAATCAGATTAATGCTACAATCTAAAACATAGTTCAAACACAAGATTCATAAAGTTAGCGAAGTGACTCAGTAATGCCAGTTAAACAGCAATATCTATTTAAGGTTTGCTAACATTAGCCATCATGAGCCTCTGCTGATACCAGACCTGTAGGCTGTAGCAGCAAAACCAGTGTGCATTTTTATTGCCAATTAATTTAACTTCTCATTTTTAGGAAGAAGAATGGGTAATGTCGACTTTCAAAAGTAAAGCAAAACAATTTGACCAATTTGAAAGGAAAATATTAAGCTTCCAATCCAATACATCTACAGGGTAACTTTAATGTGATCCACTTGTGCTGCCATTGATCTGTACCGTTCATCATGTCATAAATCACATGGTGTCAAATATACTATGAAACCACTTGATCTTGCCAGATGAATAAAATGGAACTAAAATGCCGCACTAAAGTAGGTGTTATTTGTGAGCCTTTAATATTCAGACTAGCCAGACTCTACAGTCAACATTCATCGCGTCCATCAGTTTCACCAGTAATCTGGTCCCTCCTGCCGTCATGCAGAAAGATTACAGGTTGAGGGATGATCGTAAACATATGTTGCCTTAATGGGAGTTATGTGTGTGTTTCTGAAGTTAAAATACAGTCTCTATACTGGTCTATACGCCCAAATCTGTCTGTCAATGTGTACATATAGCTGTAGGGGATCTCTGTACGTGTGTGTCCAAATCTGTTCAGTGAGGGAAATCCCCAACAGTGAAGGAAAAATAGCACATGCACTCTTCTTACACTCTTATTTTGTTGTGAACGGTTGTCTTTCTATGTGTCAGTAATTGTCAATTATGGGACTATTATGTTAATAGGTGTCTATATGCCACTATATCCATGTTCCATGTGCAGTGTGCCTTCTTCCATTGTATGCAATTATTGTGAGTGTGTGTGACAGTTTGCGAACACATGTTTGGCCACTTCCTTTCTGCGTGTGTATTCAAGAGCGTGAGCCTCCTTCCTGTCTCTTTAAATGCTGGTATGTGTTAGATCCGATGTGTGTATGTGTGTGTGATGTTGTGCATGCCAGTCACAGCCATCATTAGGGGCTCCTAGTGAGAGCAGAATTATAGGGCTTGTAGATGGACGTCACACGCAGGCCCACAGAGCCCCTGCTTTTAATCTGACACTGTAAACCACATTCCACTGGTAACACACACAATGTAAATGCTCCGTACTTGTATAGCGCCTTTCTAGTCTTTTTGACCACTCAAAGCGCTTTTACACTACATCTGCATTCACAAGTCACACACGTTCATACACTGAGCCTAATTGCTCAAACGGAAACTAACATTCACACTCATTCATACACTGGCGGAATAGCCGCCAGGGGCAAATCGGGGTTCAGTATCTTGCCCAAGGACACTTCGACACGCAACCAGGGGGAGCCAGGGATCGAACCGCCGACCTTCCGATTAATGGCCAACCCGCTCTACCTCCGACACTTCGACACGCAACCAGGGGGAGCCAGGGATCAAACCGCCGACCTTCCGATTAACGGCCAACCCGCTCTACCTCCTGAGCCACAGCCGCCCTCTAATCTAATCTAAGATCCTCATCATCATACAGTATGTAGAGCTGCTTTAAGGCTTGCATTAAGAGGGACTAGCACACCCATATGCAGATATAAAATGCACAGATACACACACAGACACACACACACACACAGACACAGACACACACACAAAATCTTGACCTTGTGTGTGTATTGTGTGACCTCAGTGCTGTTATTGGGAGGTTAAAGGTCAAGGTTCTTTTCTTTCAGACACAGTGACCTTTTCCTCTTGTCCAAGTCCATCTGCAACAAAGCCAGAGAGATCGGGTAGCGGGAGGGAGAGACATGGAACAACATAAAGAAAGAAAGATGGAAAGAAAGACAAGGAGGGAGGCAAGATATTCAGACTGAACTTCCAGAGTGTGTTTAGGTGTGTGTCCACGTTACACACTTAATCTTTACTTATCTCCAACTTCATCCCCCTACTGTACCAGCCATAGAATGACATGCTTGTACAAAATTATATATTCACTTTTATTGGAGGTAATGATGGCGCTAGAGAGATAAGGCTGTAAAAGTTTGAAACAAAATAATATAACATCTAAAACATCTGCAAAACTATTGTCAGACGCCACTGCTTAAAGACATTCATCTATAATTCATCATTTAAACCTAATATAAAAATATTTTCAATTCATTCCTTTTGTCAATAAAGCCACCAGATATGAAACATTCACACACAGATTGTTATTAAATGTTCAACGATACTGTAATGGTAAAGACTATCCAAAATTTCAGTGACTAACATTAAAACTCTGTCTGCTTATGTGTTGTTTACCAAGATTGTACTCCTGGTAGTAAAGTGGTGACAATGGTGTGCTGATTTATTGGATACACCCATGAGCAGTGGCCACATACATTCATAAATTCAGGTTCAGCATTTGTTGGTAGAGACAACAAAGTTTAGGGTCCGTTCTGGGGAAAAAGGCACATGTGTCGTTTAGACACTTGAAACATTACAGCATAGTTCAAATGTTTTGAAAATGAATCAGATTTTTGTTGTTCGGTCCTAAAATGACTCTTTCATCCCAAGAGAATGATTGCTATTTTGTTGTTTGACTGGGTGAAAGGTCACTCACATGCCCCGACGCTTAATGATGAAAACGCCTTGTTGACATTGCACCAGTATCTTGGCAACAGAGCGATATCACAAGGTCATGATCAAAACCTGATTATCTCTAACCAACACACACACATACAAACATCCATAGATCAATACAACTTTTATAGAGGTAAAAAAAAAATAGACTAGATAGAAGATAGATGACAGAAGCTCGGGTTTGAAGAGAGATCATTAGAGACAGAACTGAAGAACGGAGTCAAAAGGTCAGGGATACGGAAAGAAATAAATATAAAAAAGGTCATCTGAAGGGATTAGACTGATTGATCTGCTCTAAAACTACAGACGCAGCACAGTAAAAAGTGGCCCCTTTAAATTAGATGAGAACGGAAAGAAAAGGGTGGTGGGGGGATGGAGCTGCTGTGCTGAAGGTCCATAAACGACATAAAAGAGCATGTCAGCTGTGAAATTGGCATCAGGGCACCTTGAACTGGCTGAACCTATCTGGACAGGCACTCTGAGAGGGAGGCAGTTAAAGAGACAGTGGGAGAACAAAAAGGGAGAGCTGTCAGAAGGCTGTCAGACTGCAGCAGTACAAAGCTGAGCTGGATGAGAGAGTGAGGAGGAGGAGAAGGAGGGGAGGACAGGAGGCACTGACTTGACTTAGTGACCTTTCTAGACTAGGAATGGATGCCCATCTCACACTTTGATTAATGTGTTTTTTGGGGTATTTTGGTTGACTGGTGTATTAATGAATCATCCACATTAACTGAATCATGCTCCAGCTTTAAAATTGAACCATTTTCCCTAACAGAAAGACCCGCTGTTCACAGCCTTCAATGAATCGTCTTTGGTGGCGCACAATGGACAGTGTAGTCACATTTGTTCAGCATACTGCAGTGCAGCTGTTAACTGTGAAATACAAAAGTCTATTGAGTGAGCTCGTCACCGACTCATTTCTAATTCCACTGGTAGTGTTTACATTTTGTTTACTATGAATATAGTGTTTGGCTGACGGTTTTATATGTATTTAAGACTTTAAGGTTTGTTCACAAGTGTATTGTTTGTACACAACACAAACCGGCTGTGTTTTTGATTTAAGATTGAATGTAATGTGACAGGGGTCACTTGTAGTTATCATCTTTGAGCTCATTGTTTTGACGTCAATCTCATCGCACTCATCAGCGCTGTTTTCAGCGAAAAGACTGATAAACCAGCTGTACGCTACCTGCCCAGCACCAAATAGCAGACAAAGTTAGCGACTAGCTGGTGAACACTGCGGAACATTTAGCAGCTAAAGAACCTTGGAAGGAGGTGGTGGAGATGAAAAACAAAGCTAAACAGAGAGTGAATATTCATTCATCAGGTGGACACAAACACGACACGACATTGCCCTGTGGTTGTTGTATATGTGAATGTTGTGTTTACAGCTTGTGCGGAGTAAATTAATACTGCTTTAAATAAAATTTTACACTTGAATATTTTGCTGGACAATTTCACTCTAAATTGTGACAACACTTTCCCTCTCAAGTAGATGAAAGCAAAAATAAATTACAATCCAGGGAAAGTCAAGCTAGACGGCAACGTGAGAAGTGTCCTGCCTGGAGACAGTGTTAACACAAACATACAAAGACTGACATATACACTACAAAATGTCTTAACTCTTGTTCATTACATTCTCTCCCTCAATCTCTTTGTTTTCACACACATACACAGTTGACTTTCTTCAGGCTCTTCATATGTACGCTCCATCCCGCTATACGCTGCCTCCCTCTTTTCACTTTTTTTTTCACAATTTAAGTCAGCTCCATTCGCACGCCGCTGCCACAGAAATCCATCACTGCACACTCTGCTGCCAAAGGAAATATGAACTCTGTCGGCCTCTATCTCTCCCCATTTAAACTCTCTCACTCACATCCTTTTGCTCTGACCACACTCACACAAACACACACTCACTAAATTTAATCCTCGTCTGTTTGAATAGGGTTAGCACAGAAACACACCAGTAGAATATATTAGGCAAATGCAAACTTTTCTCTCTTTTCTTTTTCTTGTAAAGACAATTCAAAACAATGGAAACGAATTAGAAACACACATGTACAGACAAAGGCATACACACACACCTCTTCTTGCTGTTCAGCATTCCTCTCAGTCATCAGCTGTAGTTCAGCTTTAGCTTGGCTCAGCTGCAGTGCCTCCTGCTGTTGGCAACGATGCAGCTCCTGGTGTGTCTCCTCTCTCCTCCTCCTCTCCTCCTGCAGCTCGTCTTGCAGTTCTCGTAGCTCCTGCTCTCTCTCCTCCATCTGGAGAAAAAAAAAAAAAATCTGTTCCAATTTGTGCATTTAATTATGACTACTTAACTGTTAATGTGTTTTGTCGAAAACTGTTAACTGGAAAGAAAAGCCACAGAAACGGATGGCTATGGATTTGCTTTTTACTCACTCATTCATAAATAGCATTCGTCGCATCGTCACGTGTTGTTTCTCAAATACAGCAAGAAATTCAGTTTTTCCAGTGTTCTCTTGGTTTTTACACTCACTCACCTAAATGTGTTGCACAGATTACAGGGAAATCAAGGTGACATAAATGTCATCAAATCTGTGTCATATGCAGCGGGCAACATGTTTTCTGTTACCTCATCTAGCTTTTGCGCAGGAAGGGGGCAGGAGGGGACTCTGCAGTGCCAGACACAGTGGGAGTGGAAGACGTTAAGTCCGGATTCTCAATTTAACTACACTACGGAAATTCATTAACAGTCACCACCTGTCATATTAGTGGTTTTCAGTACAGTACATTTAAAACTTCCGTGTGTTTTGGTTGTTACTCATACTAAAAGCGGCAATGCTGTAAGCGGATACATATTATTCGAGGGTGTGGGTAATAGTAAGAAGCCTGTTCACCTAATGTGTCGTTGTTTTCTTTTGCCTCATCCCAACTCTCTTCTGTAAAAGTCTGACACATCTCACCATCTCTTTCATCTTTTATTATCCCCTCTGTACACACACTAACTAACCACAGTGTCATCCACACTGTCTGCATGCATGCGTGTGTGTATGTCAGTAATCTGTAGAGAGTGTGTTCATAATAGTGGTTCCAATAATGCAGAAGGCATGTGAGGGACTGAATCACAAACATATGACATAAACAGGAATACAGACAGTAACATAAAGTATTCAGACATGTATTACACGCAGGAACAAAGTGGGAACTCCTGGTCTTGAAGTCCTGGAAGGCAGAAAGTCACAGAGAGAAAACAGACATGCAGACAGTGGATGTACGTAGAGGGAAGTGAAGCAACCAATGGAGAAGAAAGAAGGAGAAGACAAGAAAAAATATATATACCCATTCTTATAATCTCTGCAACCACAGGGTGATCTTCCCGTCATCTATTCTCATTTCTTCTTAAAATATGGTGACTGAAAGATGTGAAAAGAGGAAGGGGGTGGAGCAGGACAGCTGAAGAGATGGGCATGTGAAAAAAATTGAAGAATCTTCATATTGTAATACAATAATAATCTGCCTATTACAAACGCATTTCATTGATATATTTTTGCAATGCAATGTTGTGTTCAGTGGCCATTTTTATTTATTTTCATTTTCAATAAACAGGTAGGCACCTTCTGCTGAAGCTGTGTGCTGTTTCGCTGGTACTGCAGAAGCAGCAGTTGGTTCTTCTCCTTGTCAGTTGTCCGCTCTAACTCCACCTCCCTGCAAAGCTCCTCCATCTGCTCCCTCAGGTGCAATGCATTCTGGGTTCTATGCTCCTCCAGGGCTGTAGCCAGCTACAAAAACAAAGACGAGGACAAAAGATACATTTACACACTTGTTTAAAGTGTGCATGTTCATTCTGACACACAATGATGACAACACTATTGCACATGCAGACTTGCAATTTAAAACAGAGACTTCTGACCATATAAAATAAACTTTTCATCATCATCAAAATAAATCCAAGTTCAGTCTAGCCCACATCCTACGGCCTGTCTCTAATTCAGAGTCCTAAAAGAGACCGTGAAATGTTGATTTTTTTCATGATATAAACAGGAAGGAGGAAGGTCACACAAAGCTTTGTCACAGTTTAACAAAAAGTGCAGAGACAGACATGAGGAGACAGCAGTGGTGTATCAAATTGCTGGGTACAAAACTCATACAACCTGAAAATGTGTCTAATGAAAACCGTTGAAAGTTTTTGTAGCTGCATAGGAAGGTTTTTATAAAAGGTTTGGCATCGCGTTTTAACCTTTTAAAACAAACCAGTGCTTCTGTAAACACATTTAATAGTCTCTAACCTCTTCCATGTTGCGATATATATATATATATATCACTCCTATGAGAGCTCTAAATAGAAACAATGCCTTAACCCTATTCGTAATATATGAGGGGGATTTTGGTTATGGAAAAGCTTTGTTGAGTGTGACAATGACTCCAGTGTGACTCCGGCAGTCAAATATTGAGGACATAAAACGGCAGCATTGGCTCTTGTAAGAGTGGTGTCAAAGTTGTATGTGACATATTTTTTAGTCAGGCTTGGCCAAGGCTACCTTGTTTTCTAGAAGATCACACAAACTGTGCAGCAGTGTCATGGGCTGGGATCACTGTGGCTGTGTGTGTTTATCTGTGTGTGTGCGCGCCTGTGTGCATTTATGCATGTGTGAAAAAAGAAATAGTGGATGTGGGCGCCAGAGAAAACTAAAGACAGATTGGCGTGTGAAAATGTGTATATTTGAGCCTGTGTGTGCGTGTGTATTATCCTTGCGGTTTGAGAGAGACTGTATGAAAGACTAAGATTGCGTGTGATGGATCAAATGAGAAAACACCACTTCCTCTTTGCTGGGTATGTGTGAGGAGCATGGATGGTTTGTGTGTATCCTTTTGTATGTGTGCGTGTGTGAGAGTGTGTATGTACACAGCTGCCAGAGTGACCACTTCCTTTCCATGGGTATAAGCCCATGTGAAGTCAGGAAGCCCATCTGAACAGCAATCTGTATGGACGGGCGTGGGAGCCGTCCTAACGTTAGTCTTTACATGTGCAGCCTATATTTTAGTGTGTTTGTTGATCTGTCATGGCTTGTGATATCTACAGAATGTTTGGTACTTTTTGTCCCATCTGGGATGGGAGAATAGAATAGACTGAGCCAAACATAATTCTCTCATCTATTCTATTACAGTTTCTCTTTGATTACTGTGACCAAAAATGCTTGATGACACAGTGGGTTTCTGTGATGCAAGTTGTGGGGTTAAATGTTTTTCTGCAGCTGAACTGGGTCAGTGGTTAAGCTAAAGTACATATCAAGTGAACATAGTGACAAACAGAACTGAAGTTTAAAGACTTTTAACCCTTCGCTTAAGAGAATCATGTACTGTAGTGATAATGGCCCACTGGTATCTCAGATTCCCAACATTGCGCTAAAAAAAAAAGTTACAAATGAGAGAGAAATAATATCTATATAATAATAAACAGTGATTTAATGCTATTCTTTTTCTTTTTTTGGGTGAAAGTTCCTCTTTGTTGTGACGTTCAACTAAACCTCAGTGACTCTTGTCGCCAGACAAGCAGACACTACTGCACTGTTTGACTAATAAAAGACAGACTGCTTTTGTGCGTGTGTTTTGTGTGTGTATTTAGTTTATCTGGTGTCAAACAGACTGGTGGTCTTGGAGCCTCATAATCTTATCCACATTGTGTGTGTCAGGATCCTCCCTCTTAAACTCCTCTGAACTGTGACAATGGCCTGGAAGCCGTCCTAACATCTATTTAATTCAACACACTGGAACGAAATGTCTCATCACACTCAATTAAAACATCTTTAGACCATATAACCAATATCCAGTTACACAAGGTAGTTCAATTATACTGGTAAAACCTTTACTTAAATAGAAAGATGAACTTACTGACTATGTGCTGATACTGAGTCTGGACCAGTGTTTATTTTATTTTACTTCATTTTATCTAGATAATGTACAAATTGGTTTGCTATTGTTCTTGGTTATTGTCAGTCAGTAGTAATAAGGTTATTGTTAGTATTGTTAAAGAATTACTTTTGAGGCCATTTGCTGTCTGCAGTCTTCCTCCAACTTGGTCAGGGCTCTGCCATTGGACTCTATCAATAGTTCCCTGTTAACACACACACACACACACACACAGGAATAACTATAGGAATAAACATGGCAACATACACACACACACTGAAGCATTGAGTCATTAAGATATATTGCTGTGTAATAAGAGTACTGTGCTGAGCTGTAAAAAAAACTGTTAATCCAAATACCTCTGACAGGATCAAGCTTCCACAGTGTAATGAGAAGATAAGTGTAGCATCAGGTCATCAGCAACATCTGAAACCATGTTCAAATAGAAACCGCCCTAGGACTAAATAACTCCTTCCCTTATTTAACAACAGTCTTCCATCTGTTACTTGAACCATTACTCACTCTGCTGTAAATGCCTTAAGATTCCCACATGAGACCAAATAACATGTTTGCAGTCGCTGGCTGCTTTAGCTTGCGGAGTTTAAAAAGACCCTCTGTGCCCTAGACGTAAATGAAGACACCCAAGCAAATACAAAAAATTCTGCAACACCAAATACAAAATCAGAGAAACACATGTTCACGCATTTAAAAAAAACAACATGCAGTGACACACAGACATTAATGTTGAGCTTTAACATTTATTGAGTGAAATAAATGCTAAATGATCTCTCTCTCACACATAAGATTGCATTAAATGTTTTTACGGTGCAGGACTTTCTGAATTCTGCACATTTAGATCTGTCATGATCCAAAAAGCTCTCATAATATTTAGACATGCTTTTTTTTATGATCCTCGCAGCTTATGGGCTGCATAAAGAATATATAACACCACTCCCAAATGTCTCTGGGGAAAGAGAGATGGGGATGAGGAAGGAAAAGGAAGAGAGAGAGAAAGAGTGAGATGCAGTTGAGATATCTAGAATGGGTGATTTGTTGATTTTTCCGTCCAAATATAATATGTCACTCCAGCAGCTGGTCCGGCTGATAAGATGTAAAGCAGCGTAAATCTTAATCCAGCCAGGGACAAGTTGAGGAACTGACAGTTTCTCGCCAATGTTTATGCAGGTAGAGTTAGTGGAAAAGGCTGTTTGAGGGAGCTCTCAAAAGACTGAACAGCAACAAGGATTCTGCTGGAACTACTAATCCCTCAAAAACAAAGACATACAATACATGAAACAGAGGTCATAGATTGCTGTAAAGCACGTATGAATATTGGATCTTAGCAATGTCAATAATAGCAAAGAGGTTTTCGCACACACACACACACACACACACACACACAGGAATGAGAGCATCATGCACATAAAATGGCAGCCCTATGTGACACATAGCCACTCCTTTATAGCACTTTGTGTGTGTGAGTGGGCTGTATAGGAAAAGATTGTGAGCTGATGTCTTTGCCTGTGTACGAGTGTGCACACTTTGAGTCAGCGTGTATCTGATAGTGGAGTAGATGATCTACAGTATAATAAAGAGCAGCAGCTACATTCCATCTCTTCCTAGTCAGGGCAGACACAATATTATTCACTCCACTGGCTCTGGCTAATCACATCAGCCTACTCACCCTGGCCTCGCACACGCACACACACATACACACACACACACACACACACACACAGAGAAGCACAAAAATAGACGCAGACAAACAGCCATGCATGAACGCTCCCCTAGAGTTGCAAGTTTGATGCCAAGATCTGACTCCTGAAGCTCATTTAAAGTGCCACAAACTTAAAAAAAAAAAAGGGGGGGGACTGATGCTGTTAAAAAAGCATTATGACTACCCACCAGTTTTGCAGCTAAGTCTTAGCTCGAAGTGAGGATTTGACAGTTATGAAGCTGAAGCCTTTTAAATATGTAACAAACTGCTGATGCGTGCAGTGTTTGTGTGTTTGAGCGCTTGCGTGTTTGCGCCCCACTGTCAAACGTAATTCCGGCTCTCTGATTATCAAAAAAGTAGACCCCTGCAAAGGTAGTGTACCAGAGGTTTTCAATCGACTTTGAGCCTGCATGTGTGTGTGTGTGTGTGTGTGTGTTGGCATGTGTGTCTGTGCGTGTGTGCAAGCCCCTGGGGAGCGTGAGCGTGCAAATTCAGCCCTCAGAAGGAGGTCTGGGGGGATTACAGGGAGGAATGATGGGAAAATCTGGGAGCACTCTCTCATTCACTCACACGCCAGGCTGCTTTTAAGGACAGGCGAGTGTGTATGTGTGCAGTGCGGTGTGTGAGTGTGTATGTGCGTGCGTGCGTGCGTTGCGAGCGTAGTGTGAGCGGCTGCTACCTCGTCAAAAGGCACATAACATTTCTCCACTTTATGCTGATACATTCTTTGTGTGCACACACAGACAAAGAAGGCTGATTCGACTTGAAATGATATCATCTTTTTACAGCGAAGCTCTAAGGCGATTTTAAACACTCTTTTATTGTGTACGAATCAACAATGTTGAATCAAAAGTTAAAAGGAATCTCCACTGACATCATCTCATACATCCTCTATTCTTTTTTTCAGCGACATAACTCTCCACCTGGAAAGATTATTAAGATTTCAAAGTCAAGAATCTTCTCACACTCAGCCAGGCCTTCAAAGAAGGAACGGACTGTCTTGTAAAAATTTGACATATGAATTTAAAGCAATGGTAATTTATGACAAGTGGATAAAAAGGGCTGAGAACCGCAATTAAAGTAAAAACCCAGACTGAGATGATATAATACTTTCCACAGGGTGAAAAATGGAGAAAATACAGAAACAGAAGAGAGAAAAACAGAGCTGTAAGAGAGAGCGGTAAACACAGCTGAAGGACGTATCTTATAGATGTGTTGTTGACATTAATCCTTTAAAGTCTTTCATTAGCCTAACTCTGTAAAGCCCAAGGCATTAAACCACTTCTCTGTATAGGGAGATTTTTTGGGATCATAATTTCTGTCACGAAAACATTCCTCCGCTGCTTGAAACCACTTGAAACAAGTCCTCTCGCATTTAACAGATGGATGAGGAACCGCACAGATACTCCTGACCTCTCTTGACTTTTAAATCTTTTACTCTCTCCACTTTCTGCCACTTTCACTATTTTCTCCCCTCTCCCTCCTCTTCTCCTCTCTCGCTCTGTCTCTCTGTTTTTAACTTTGTGTCAGTTATACCGAATCAAGGGCACGCTGTCATGTTTCGTGTGTGTGTGTGTGTGTGTGTGTAGATTGTGTGCAGGCCCTGTGACCCAGGCTATGTGCATGCGAGAGCCAGACAGTGTGTGAAGTAACCACTGCAACCACAGTCACGGTCTTCATCTCTCCTCCCTTCAGCAATCCCTCAACCCCTGCCTCCCACCCTCTCTCCCTCTCTCTCAGCCTCCTCTCCTCCTTCCTTCCTTCCTTCCTTCCTTCCCTGTTTCCTTTCATGCTTCTCTCTAACGTCCTCCCTCTGTTTCTTCCTCCATCCCTCCCCACTCCTATGTCTTTCTCTCACTTTCTTCCGTCCCTCAATCCCACCGCCCTGGCCTCGGGGGAAAGAAACCATTGTCTGCTGGTTACCAAGCTTGTCTCTTCACTGTCACTTCACAACTGGTTTTCATCAACATCTGCGTTGTTCCACATGACAAGATTCATAGCTGCAGGTCCCAGTCAACCTACAGACAACAGGGGGAATTAGCTTTGTTATTGTGACTGAGTGACCTTTTTCAGCAGTTTTTAATTGTTTTAATTAATGTACACATTTTATTTAGCTATGGCCGTTGTATAGTGTCTCTTATCATTTAACCACATATACTTGCTATACAGTATAGTATAAACCAGAACAATCATTAGCATTAATGTCTGCAAAAAGCTCATTACTTTACACAATATAAATGAGTCAGAAAATTACTTATAGGTATTAGTATTTGACTTTCTTGACACCTGACTGCAGCAAAAGCCATATAGTAGATTAAACATGACATGGGTATAAAGGGGAAATATAGCTATAATTTCTCTTCCCACAGCCTCCTACTGAAGATAAATAGTTTTCAAGGCTACATTAACCCACATTAGCCCAGCAAAGGGCTTATTACACAAGGGATATATTTTCAGTATTAAATTTATTTTAACTCTACAAAACAATTTACCACAGTTACAATAGAAACACTGCATCAACGAGTCCCGGTGGAAAGATAGCACTTGTTTCAGGTTCGATCATGCAACAGAGCGATACGCAGTGACAGGGTGGCACAGAGGTTGGAGTGTGTGTTTGGGGGTGTGCGTGAATGAGATGACAGGGGGTTAGAAGGGGAGAAAGATGAGATCAGATAAGATCAATATGAAGCACACGAGAAGTGGTGATGAATACTGTATAAGTGTAGGATAAATCTGTGAACAAGGGAACAGCGTGTCCTTTCATGGGTCGCTGGAGATCAGTGCAAGTAGTCACATCTCTTGACTTTATAACGAGAAAAAAAACATCCTTGGAATGTGTGTGCGTGCACGTGTGTGTATATGTGAATGCTTGTGGTCGGGACATAGAGTAAGTACAGTGAAGTCAGTAATCCAGCCTTTTCCTCACTGAGCCTCTCTGAACATCTGAAGAAAGGACATTTAGACACACACACACACACACACACACACACACACACACACACACACACACACACACACACACACACACACACACACACATTGACCACTAGACCTCCAACAACTGAACTCAGTTCAGCTGAGGACACTGCAGAGAAACAGGCTTGGGTGTCTCTTTGTGTCCCACCAAGCCTTTCATATTTATTTAAATAATGAGATCAACTGGAAAATTTTAACTATTTGAGCCTAGAGGGGCATCCTTTCATTTTCAAGTCTACCATTGATTTTAGCGCTTTGGGGGTTATTCTTATATTTCAATTAGAAATTTGCAAAGATACAATGCAATTTCTTGGGAATAAATTGGCTCATAAATTTCAATCAAAACTATCACCTCTAATAAACTGCACCAAAAAAACAGAATGCTATTCTTTTTTATACTCTTTAAAAGGATTGTTCAATAGAATTATTAAATCAAAGGACCTTTTCACAAATGTCCTGTAATCCCTTCCTATCATAACACTTTGATTTCATTACGCAATGCTCACTGCTGTTTCTCCTTGCCAAATCATAGAAAGGCCACAGAATGGTGAGTTTGACTGTGCAGGGCAATAAGGAAACTTTTAATGGTAAAGAACAAATCAACCAAAGATGAAAAGATGAGAGCACACACACACACACACACACACACACACACACACACACACACACACACACACAGGAGAGGGTTTAACATCTTGAAAAAAAAAAAAAACTGTTACGCAAGATGTCGTAAGGAGAATTTCCTATGTGAGGCCAACTCCACAATGAAGGTCATAGGCTGCAGTGCTGTCCCATAAATTTATAAGATATACTGCATATAAAAATATATATGTTGTCATCTATTTGGCTCTCCTGCTCCACAGTACACATTTCTTTCAGTGCCGCAGTGCTCAATTTATCACTTGGTCAGACAGCTGTGTTGTAAACAACTATAAAATATGGCTTTCCATGACCATTTGTACTTTCTATGATTAATCTTTCATTTTTGTTTCACCTTTTCACAGTAATAATGCATTATGGGGATTTTCTACTCAAAATAAATAGAAATTAACAGTTAGATGCAAATAAATGATAAAACACACAAATCACTTATCAATGAAACTTAACCATCCTTCATAAGGACATAAGTGTCTTTCAAATGACAATTTCATACTTGCTTACCCAGACACACACTGTAACCACATTCACATAACACAATTTTTTTTAATAAAAACTAATAAAATTAATGCATTTCAGTCTGCTTGAGTCAGGAGTCTTTGTTGAATTATTTATTGATTACTGCAGGTATGCTAGAGATGTGGGGGGAGGTTCTGTTAACTACAGTAGTGAAAGGCACATATTTGTGCGTAAATACACACTTAGCGTAGCTTTATCTGAGATGGCTTTATGGTTCTTCTGGTTGTAATGGTTTATTGCACGGTAAAGTTGGTTGCACAGTAAATCAACAAATTGTTTGTTTTTGAGTTAGCTGCTGGTCACAAGCTGGTCAGTTTGTTTGACTGCACAATCTGGAGGCAATAAGATGATTCCCCTGAGGTTTGAGCTCTGTCCAACTTTATCTGCAAACAGTGTAATCAGGGACATGTAGCCCCCCCAAAAAAATCTAAATCAAGTATTGACAAGAATAAACACTAGTAAATGCAAGGTTGTTGAGCAACATGCTGGGCAGTGTGAGCCAACTACACAGGGAGAGGTACCTTACATAAGAGACTGGGCAGAGCTCCCAACTATTAGATTTACCCACATTCAAAGGATTCCTGCCTGCACTCAGCCCATGTCCTCTCAGACTCAAAAGGGTTGTAAATATTTAACACTAGAACAAAACAGTTTATTTATCAAACAAGCATTTAGACAGCCACCAGTCTGCGGTGGAACAGTGGTGCACTGAAGCCCGGTAAGCTTTACTTGTTCGGCACTTCAACCCAATATGACATTGGTTTCTGACGAGCTTTGACCAGGACAAGTACACCAAAGTCAACACAATGTGTTAATAGTAAACTCTGACTGAATCTCTGCTGTCTCATATTTTGTTTCTGTCTCATTTGTAACTGTTAGAATAGTTAACGTTAGCATAAATACCTGTTCAAAAAATGTTGGTATATGTAAGTATTTCTCTGTAAAAATAATCTTTAAAAAAGAAAACATCTGTATTATTATTATAATTATTATTAGGTATTTAAGAGTTTAACACAAAAAAAAATGGATTCACAATAACCAGAAATCCCACCAGCGGTCTTAGGTTTCTGATTTAAATGATCCAAAATGTTGATTGGTGTTTTCCAATATGTGACATCATGTTTCTAAGTGAACTTCAAATCACTGAGAAGAGCACAGAAACAAATTTCTCTCAAGAGAACTGTTCCAACTTTGGCAGAAAATCTTGTGTTCATGTAAGACTCCATCACACACGGCAAGAAGCTAATTGAGAAAATACGTTTTTTATCAGTTTGTGTACCAGCCGGTTACTTTTTTCCCCCTAAATTTTAAGAGCATCAAACACATTTCAAGCTTCAAGATTCGTTTCTTACTTTTTTAGGGAAAACAAAAAAAAAATGTATACATTATTTGTAATAGAATAGAGTGGAGTTGAATAGAAGTGGATGTAAACAACAAATATCACAATTATGACCTTTCTCTCCTCAGCTCTCTCATTTCCTGCTGGACCTTCTCCAGAGCTTCCCTCAGTCGTGTCACTTCCTCTTCAGCTGCACGGTACTTCCTGTTTGTTTGCCCCTCTCTCTGCTGCCATGACGACAGCTGCTCCTGCAGGGTGTGGCACCTTTGTTGGCATGACAACCACCTGTCATCTTTTTCCTCCGACTCCCCTTTTAACCTGTTGAAAAGATGGAGAGGATGGCCTTGTGCACAAACACACACACATGGTTGCTGTCCATACTGTAATATTATACTCTAGGAGGAAGTATTTTTCCTGTCCTATATGGGGCGTGTGTATGCATGTTTTGAATAACCACACAAAAGCGCAAACCTGCAGGCACACAGTGATTCTATACTGGCAGGTCAACAAATGAGTGTAAGTGTCAGGGCAAGCCTGTTACATAAGAGAGAGGCCGTTTATTCTCCAACCTTAACAGGCCGCTTATAGTCAGGTAGTTAACACACCAACACACAAACACAAACTGGGTCAAACCCTACATTCAAACATTCTGCTTTCTTTTTATTAAACAGATAGGCAGGTCTTTCCACACAAGTCAAGCACCAAATCACTGGCGTGTTGGTCTGACTTGGTAAACTTTGGTACGTCAAGTAATACTGAAAATACACACACAGCGTTCTGGCAGTTGGTATCTGTTTTAGGTTGACATACAAAGACAAACTACAGGGACATTTACAAAAACAAATTTAAAACAACAATCATTTTAAAGCTGCAACTACTAGATAGCATCTACTTATTGATTTCTCTGCAGAAACCTAAGCTTCATGACCAGATAAACATTATCTTTAGCCACCGATGGTCTCCAATCTTGGACAGTTTAGTGAATCATTGTAACCCATTACATTTTCTCTGAGCGATGCGAGGGGCGTTTGCTCCCCCCCCTCAACAGCTCATGTCTTCTGAAATAGCCTCCAACCCCCCGGTGGAGTGCTATCATATGTTGAGCTGTATAGGAGCCAGAGGGTGAGATCAGAGACTGCTGTGTGGGAAGGGAAATAAATTGACAGTGTAATTGAACACACCAGGCTGCCAGTGGCTTAGAAAAAGAATACCAGCAGATACCATGTGAAAAAATACACACCCACATACATCTAACGCCTGCATGAAAAGATGAGAGGCTTCGTGTGTATATGTCTGTCTGTGGGTATACGCATGTGGGTTGGGTGTGTGCGCACGTGTCTGCCTGAGCATTAGCATGATGCACCACTGCACCTCTGCATATCTACAGTATGTGCGTGCCTCTGTGCACAGATGAGTGTATGTGAGAAACATGACTCCACGCCAACTAAGGAGTGCTTCCATCTGTTGCGCCAGCCTCACACGAGACTCTCTGCTGTGTCACTGGCACTTTATGGAGCCTAAGATCTCCTCAACTGATCCAAGAGCAGATCTCAGCTGACATTAATATCCCCATCTCTCTCAGGGAGGAAGGAGATGGGGAAAAGAAATTAAGCCAAGGAAAAGGATGATTTGGGGCAAAATGAGTGGGATGAGTACAGAGATTGTGAGAAAGTTAGGAGAAGGGAAGGGATGGGAACTTATCATGAGATAAAACAAAAGTGCAGAGAAAAAGAAAGACAGTTCAGTACCTGAGGAGATTTTCTCTCTGCTCTTTCTCTGATTCTTTCTGTTGGTACAGCTGCTCCTCTCTCTGTCTCTTCTGCTCCCTGGAGACACAAAGTGCATGACATGGTCACTCAATTTTCACCAATTGTTGAGTCAGGAAATTACATAACCTCAAAATAGAGTAATACTTTCCTCTCTTCGTAAAATTTAACTCACATTAATTGCAAATACATTTCACATTTAGGCATAGGGGAATATAATTTCTACACCCACGGTATGTTTTTCAATTTCAAGTGTCATTGAAAAGTACTTGAGCAAGATACCAAATCCATACAACTGCTTTTCTGCACTCCTACGCTTGTGAATCTCAGTGTGGAAGAAGCCAAGCTTAACAATGAATTCCTCTTCTGGGATCAGCAAAAGTTCAAGAAAGCTTCCTGTATATCACGACTCGTTTGACTTGCACAACACAACTGATTGTCATTTTACTAGTGAGCAACTTTCGATTAAGATTTTTTATTGTTGTTGCTAAATTCAAAGTAAATAAACTGAGTATGTGTGCAGCTATGTTTTCTTCTTCCATGTACAGCTGCTGCCTCGCTCTTGAGAAAGTAAATTGGAAATCAGTTTTAGTTCTAATTCTGCGTGCCATGACAGTATGTGGTACTCCTGCCTCCTGTGCACACACCCACACACACAGACTTTAGCCTAACCCTGTCGGCTTCCCAGCCTAATCCCCTCTCTGGCGGCATGATCAGTTAATGTGTTTGTGTGTGTGTGTGTGTGTGTGTGTGTGTGTGTGAGTGTGTAGCTGGCTGTCTAGCCCTGTGACCTTGCAGCCACACGCAATGAGGATACAGAGTGAGAAGGCTCGCACGTCTGAGCTCCCAGTCAGACAGCCAGTTTTCACTGCCCATCTACAACTGTGTGGGATTATTGTTACATTTTTACTGAACTGGATCCAGTGAAAACAGCCAGTACAGCTCATCACTATATTAATAATTTATCATACCATACCAGATTGTAGGCTGGTTTGCTTTTGTTCATTTACAGTGTTAAAATAATAGTGCAACATTTATACGGTATGGCTAAACATCCTGATGCTGGAAGTCACATATGATGTTTGGAAGTATTTTTCAAATAATAATAGCCATATTTTCATCATTTAGCGGTGAAAGTTAGCCACAGACAGACAGAAGAACAGATAGGGACACAGCACCAGATACACACATATAATCAGAGTAATACACTCACAGCTGTCTGGCACCAGTTATCAGCTTTCCTTGCTTTGTACTCTCATCACACATTTCCATCCCATTTCCTCTCTCTCTCTTGCTCTTTTTGCCCTCTTTTTTTAACCCTCTTTTCCTCCCATGCTGTCACAGCTACTAGTGATTTAGAGCAGGCCCCCAAGTGCTCCTAAAGTCTGCCTATTGAGCTACAGCATACTGTTTGTACTTTACAGTCCGCCGGGCCAGTCTCGCGTCTCTTTCTCGCTCGTCTTTCTGTCTTCAAGGTCAGAGATGACATGATATCTGACTCCCAGCTGCTGTTTCCACTATTCTTTATGCTCTGGTCTCCTCTTCTTTTTTTCAGAGGTGAAAAGGGAGTTGAGGGAAAGAGCAAATGTAACGGAGTAAAACAGAGGGTGCTGTCTTTGTGAATTACTGTAAGGCAAGTGCACAGTGCGCTGAAGGAGTGGTGGAGCACTTTAGGTATTTTTGTAGCTGCAGGCATGTGGTGTCCCCGGAGTGCACATGGAAACAAGGTGAGATTAGGAAAAATCTATTATCATACATTATCAGTGGGTGTATTAGGGGAAGGTTACAATCACAGCTGCTGGGTTTTAGGGTAAAGAGGAGAGAGATGTTGAAATTGTCTCATGAATTCTGCTCGTAATAACTTGCACTGCATAAACTAAGAAACCATGTGGAATAATTAATCATGAGTGTTTAGGATCGAAGAAGTTTGCTGGTTGCACAAGACTTAATAAAGGTAACCACAGTGGATCTGTCATGTGTAATCAGCTTGACAACACCCGTCACTGAAATTACAGACTGCTGATGGAACACATACCTGTTGCCGTCAGCTGGCTGTAAAGACAGTTAGTCAGCTTTTGTCGATGAGAGATGCTGATAGAATCAAGCATTAATCTTCACTCTGCCTTCTTGTCCATAATCAGAAGAAAAATATATTTTTCCCCCTGTGTAATTAGATGTGTCTACCTGTCAAATACCTGTATAATAAAAGTGAAAAAGACAAGCAAAACATGTGGGTGTGCCTCCACAAATTAATGTAAACTGTGGCAGACGCCGCAAAACATGGTAACTCTTCACCCTGAAATTGTAATATACTAGTGGCACCCTGCTGAGGCCCTCCTCCCACTGTGGTGCATGGCAAGTCACCAAAATACCAAACAGCCACATAAGGAGGGAAAAACCTCTCTGCATTTTAGGAAAATACCATCTCTTGTGCGGCATGTGCACACATGACAACAGAGCCCAGAGAGAGAGAGAGAGAGAGATAGAAAACAGAAGTGACATTATAAAAAGAATCTGAGATATAAAGAAAGAGGCAAGAAAAAAAGACAGAAGGGCTGTGATTGATTTGATCTAACATGAGATAAACAGAGGACTGAGGTTAGGGAAAGAGACAGAAAAGTGTGTGTGTGTGTGTGCGTGTGTGTGTCAGGCAAATGGCAGGGTAAGATCTTGTGGGAAACGAGGTCCTTGGATACACCCTGAGATCAATAGTTATTTCACTCCCAGCAGTCACACAGGCACAGACACACAATGCAGGGACACACTTTAATGCGTACATGCACACGCACAAAGCAGTCAGCGTGCATCAGCCTTATGAAAACAAGCTGTATCACATCAATCACATCAATCCTTTGCTCTCTCTCTCTTGACCTTCACTCATTCCATCATCCACTCTTTCATCTCTCCTCCCTTGCTCAGCGCATCCATCCCGTCTTTTATCTAGCCCTCGCTTCCCTCTAATCCATCCTTTCAACCTGGCCCGCGTCTGTGTTGGATGATGTTCATCCTCTGATGAAAGAATGAGCTCAACCTGCCAATCAGAATGCAGCAGGAAGCTTCCCAACACCTTTTACAGGAAGTGGTTTGTGACGCTCTCTGTGATCCTTTGACAAATGCTGTCAAAAAGCCCTTGGGCGAAGTGCAGACTGTGCAAGCTTCCCATAACTCCTGGGCTAGTTCAGTGGAAAACAGAATGAGTTGTAAGTCGATCACCACATTATACAAGGAAGGTCCATGTACTAATATTGTGAATACAGGAATATTCAGGGGCACAAACAAGATTGAAGATCCTGAAGAGGGTGTAAGTGTGTGTGTTTGTGTAAATAGTGAAAAAACAAGCTGCCCTTGAGTGTCTCTCTGGCACGCTTATCTTATTGCACGCTAGGATCAGAGGGATTCCACAGCCGCTAGCTGTCCTCAGACCGCCCCTGAAATATATGTGTATGTGCGTTTCCAAGGCAATGGGGCTGGCGCCACAGAAGCGCAACAGGTGCTGAACTGATGTTTGATGTAGGCGGGGGTCAAAGGTTGGGCAGTTGTCATGGCAACACTGCTTGTACACAAACAAACCGGTACTTTTTGTTCTTGGATCTTGAGCGAGCCTCAAAGGTTTGGGAAACTCTGGAGCCGGTATGATAGTGAGACTGAAAGGTTACAGAACACACACACGCACACAGAGTGGCTGTAGAAGAGGGTGTCTGAACAGGCAACCTGTCAGCATAAAACTGGACAGTGAAAGGAGGGTTAGCCAATCAACTCAGACATCCCATCTGGACCTCATTTTAGACCTCGCATGACAGTCTGCCACGCATGAGACAGCAAGAGAAATCAATGGGTTGCGTTTGTGTTTACCATACTTTGTCAGTGGTGGATATATTGTAGGTACATTTACTCAAGAACTTTACTTAAATACAGGTAAAAAATATAATTGTACTTTACTTGAGTATTTTACTCTACTTTATACTTTTACTCCACTACATTTATTTGACCGCTACAGATACTAGTTACATAAAAATGTACATCCACAACATTAGCTTCACATCAACAACAGGAAAATGCTAATTACACATTTATGGGTATATATGAATGATCAAATAATGTTATAATATTTTTAAAAACTTACAAAGAACCTTATTCTGCATTGAGTACTTTTGTAGTACATGTTGCTAATAATACTAACGTACTATTTACTACTTAAGTAACATTTTTGTTGTATTGTGAGTATTTTTTACAAACACTTTACCTAAAAACTTCCTCCACCATGGCATTTTGTAAATAAATATTTCTATCCTTAAATTTTTGGCAACACAGATTAAGATTAAAATTAGGTTAGTGTCATAATCCAAAATCTATAATCCATAATCTACAACAGTGTGTATTTATACTATTACTACTTGTGTCTACTTTTTACATAATGGTACTTGCATATACTGTACATATAAGCATATGAGAACCAGTGGTCTAGATATAAGGGTATCATGCTGTACAATTGCAAAGTCCTCACTGACTGACACTGACTAAAGGAAAACTGCATTTCAACAAATTACCCTTTATGTAATTATGTAAAAATATACAATAAAAATTGTTAAGTAAAGGATAACTATTTGTCCATATTTGGCTAAATTACGCACAAAAAAATGGCGTACAGCTTTGGTTAAATATTGTACAGAGAACTGCTGTGTCGACATGCTCAGATAGACGTGAACCACTCTTTTCCCTCCCCACAATTCTTTACACACACATGCTCCTTATCATGCAAGAAAGTCTCAGACTTAAGCACACACCCCCTGTCTCCTCCTCCTCCTCCTCCACACACACACCGCATCATGCAACATGGCCTTAAGGCTGATTCTCCTTACAGCATATGTCCATATGTCTGTGTGGGTCGCGTGCGACTGCAAACATCCCCTCCATCCTCCCCGCCTCAGCCTGATCCCTGTATTGGATGGACGTGCACATTCCACACATATGAAGTCAAACTTGAGTACACAGTGGCTTGAACACATTTGTGTGGCAGGGCAGAGGGCGGGGGAACAATCTAAGATTTTTTGTTTTCCTTGTTTTGGTTGGGTGAGATATTTGGAAAGCAACGCAACTTTTTAAAAAATCAAGTAACAATAGTCTTGATACTCAGATTGTAGCCAGATGTTTTCATTAGTTTACTATAAAACTAAACAAGAATGAAATAAGAAAGCGTGTTTGACGGGGACAAAATGAAAGAGAACGTAACAGATTTGTCTGGTATCAAAAGTGGCCAAAATGTGGTTCATAACGTAAAGGAATTAGTGACAGAGAGGGAAATGTGAGGGGATACAGGTATAAGAAACTAAGACAAATGAAGATTGAATATGCATGCAATTAAATTTTCATCTGATGACTGCCGGGTCAACAGATTATCAGACAGAAGTGAAGTCTACTGCAGTGAAACCACACTGTATGTGGGTTACTGTGTTTCACTGAAACAGGATGAAATTCGTTGCAACGCACAAAACACAACATAACCACACAGGTTGAACAAATACTCTGATCTGTACTAAGATACCAAGATTCTGTCAGGCACAAACTAAATGAAGCTTAGTGTAAGTCCAACCAGGAAGAGCTTTACTTATTCACAATTATCTCTCTCTCTCTCTTACAGTCTCTCTTGCCCTGCCCTCTAACAGCTGACTATGGGTGTTAGTTTTCCAATCAGGTTTCACCATGATCAGCACTACAATTCAGTCACTATCAAACTTTAAATCAGTTCTCTCCTCTGCTGATGTCTGTCATCCACTATAAGTCACTGCAGCCCTCCTCCACCTCATTCACCTCCTGCTCATCAGATCCATGCCCAATTCAAGCTCAGCAGAAGACCACTCCTCATAATGTCCAGATCCCCAGCATCTTCTTCATCCCTTCAACACCACCACTTCTGCGGCTTCACCACTCACATTCAATACCACATTATCACGATGGAGTCTAATTGCCAAATTACTTTTCACATTCTCATATCAATGTATCACATGTCAATAAATGAATGCTGTTCACTCAGTCAAGTCTCTCTTGATTTAAACACTCAAAAGCTTCACTATAAATTATGTCCAACATTTTCTGCATATTTATCTATATTTAGTCTCTTTACAAATAAACCCCTTCTAGACATAGCTCCACCACACATACTGCATCAGATAGTCTTTCCCGTAACAGCACTTTAAAACTGACAACAAACAGAAAGAGAAGGAGAAAAAAAGAAACTGAGCAAAATCTGTCATTTCTAAGGTCAAAAAGAAAGTTTACATTTACGACAAAAAATATTTGGGGGAGAGAAAGAGAGACAGATGAGGAAGTTATAGAGGGAGAGGGAGGAAACATTAGTGAACAAATGAGTGCTTCATCTGCAGTCTGTCAGGTCAAGTAGCCCTTTAATGTTCCGATTATCAGATAAAAGCAACATTTAACATTTACTCCCTTAATGTGTAGGGAGATTTTCTGTTTTTGTGTGTGTGCCTGTGGGTGTTTGTCCATTTGTGTCCATGTCGGCGCTTCTGAAGTGGTTGATTTCTCAAATATTATGAATGAGATCACTATAACACCAAATTAAAAAGCATTCCCTGTTCCTTAAAAATAACACTGTCTTTTAAAATGTGGGATGTGTGCAAATATTTGAAAAACTTGCCACCGTACTGTGTAAACCAGTGTCAGGGTAGGACCAAATATGGTATAATTTATCCAATATGAATTCTTGAGAGGGAAAAAAAGTAACTTTTATTAGTGGACGGCAAAACTTGACCTAAACAGTGACCAGCTCAAGCATTCTTGTAGTTGTGATAACAGTAGATAGTGACTTGTTACAAAGAAAACACTGCATACTGTGAGCATGAAGTGAGTACTTCTGTCCTTGTACATTAGCTTTTAGTCTGTTTTTCCTCAATAGAAACATTTAGATTTTCCTGTGCTGTGCCATAATTTACTGTACAGTTTTTGTCAGAACTAATATCTTTTGATATATTTGAATAAATGTTGAATGTATCATAATAACTACATACGCCATATGAAGCTTGAAAATAGAATAAACAACACTATACGATACAATGCTTTGAGCTAATTGCTAGTGTAACAATGACAAAGCTAACATGCTTCTGTTTAGCAGGTATAATGTTTATCATGTTCGCCATCTTAGCTCTTTAGCATGATGGGAATGTTACTCATTTTGCAGGTATTTCGAGCCAATGTGTGTGTTTCCAACAAGGGATTACTAAAGTAATTCTTCTTCGTAAAGCATTGGACAGATTAATATCTTGACCTGATGATGGCGCTAGATAAAACGTTAAGGGAAACCAAAGTGATTATGATTCAACCTCAGCAGGACATGAGTGTGTCATGTCAACTAAAAAACCTGCTGCGGCTGGGGCACATTTTAAGGGTTTGAAGGCATTGCTTTATGTGATTTACTACATTTCTAGGAGTATTTGTACAGTATGTGGTAAGTGTGTGTGTCAGTGTCTGTCTGTGCATGTATATTTGTGTCTGCAGGTCCAGAATTAAGGGGGCCAGAAAATGGAAAATGATAGTTTCATCATCAGCATATTTTCAAAAGCCACAGGGGCATATTCTTTCTAAAGCCTTAAACCCCTGACTAGACCTTTGTGTGATGTGTATACAAGTGAAATCCTCTGTTGTTGCAGCTTAGCAGGCCTGGTATGTGGAACATGAGCATTTCCTGGTTTGGGCGGTACCAGTGGGGCTGTTCAGAAGGTTTTGATTGGTTGAGGAAAATTATACATAGAGCCAAGCCCTGCTGTGACCTGTTCTTCACCCGGGCATATTCCACATACCAAGATCCACCTGCGTCCCCATCTGTGCATGCGCATGTTTTTCATAAATGTGTATGTGTGTGTGTGTGTTTTACCACATGCTGTGGACACTTACATCAGCTGCTGAGTTAGGTGCTCTTTCTCTTCTCTCATTTTCTGAAACGCCACACTGGAATGCTTCAGCTCCTCTATCAGCACTGTTCACACACACACACACACACACACACACACACACACACACACACACACACACACACAGATTTGAGTTTATTTGACACATTGAAGATGCTGTGAAAGCTTACAAAAGCTTGTCTGTATATAACACTGGCTCAAAGCCACACTTGTCACCAGAGGCTCCACTGTAAATTATGCTACACTGCATGATTTACAGGCACAGACAGACACAGGGGAGAAAAGAGACAGACAGGTACAGTAGTCACAGTTTTACCACACTGTTACTTCACACTTCAGCAAAGGAAGAAACCCTCAACCAAATTAAACTACCCACGAGAGTGAGAAGATTTGAAAGGGAAACAAAACAAGCGGTGGTAAAGGAGGAACACAAAAAAGACAAATAGTACCGCAAATAAGAGGTGGCCAACAGCAGGTCTGAAAAGAAAATCTAGGATACTGAGACATATGGAAGCAGTTGAAAACGAGAAGAAGGAAGATAGGAAGAGTAGAAGGAGGGGAGTGTGTTGAGAAGAAGGTAGTATGAGGAATGATTTGTGTTCATAGGAAGCCATGAAACAGTACACCACAGTCTGGCAGGCTTTGTTGTTGTGTGTCTGATCCAAAGTAGCTGCTGTATTGCTACTGTTTCCTCCATTCATGACACAGTGTGTCCGCAGAAATGATACAACTAAAAAACTATAGGCCACAAGTAAAACATAGTAGTCCTCAAAAAAATGACAGAACAGAGGAGAAAATTACTTCATGGAAACTTATAAGAAGACATCAGAGTGAGCGTGTTGTCGGCTATATGTGGCTAATTTCTACTTGCTTGAATCTGAAGCTGCTGTGATCTTGGCGGTAGGGAGTGTCATTTTGTTCTGCACATTCACATGCACACAGCAGGTTTCCAGGCCGGTGAATGCGTTTATTAAAAAACAGACCTGGAAGAAATGCTTAACTGCAATATTTAGGCCTCATGTCAAGCCAATAACTTGTCAGACTGCGCTGGACATACTGCAGCTCCAGGCAGGAGTGGGTATCACGCAAGAGAAAAGCACTTAGGTTCCAAGTCTGAATAGTGAATAACTCAAGACACACCACTATTTTCTGAAACCACCGCACATAAGTGTCTTTAGTAAAAATATTTGCACGCTGTTTTCAAGTCAAAGTGTGATACATACAATGAGAAAGGCTCACATTCATGATCGGCATAATCATCATCGACATTCATTACCATCACCAACATTATTTAAAAGCAAGTAGAGGCAAGAACTGTTGCTATAGGATGTCTTGTAAACCACAAAAAGGGCATGAAAAGGTAATGATCATCATCAAATCATAATCAAAATCAGTATAATATTGGTTTCTATGTTAAAGAAGGACTTCCCTGGGTGGAACATCACTATGTAATACATAATTTGAGGTCTAAATACCGATCTGTGCTGATTCTTTATTCCTTATGTTCTAATGAATAGAAACTGAATTGACCCACTGTCAGAGTAAGTTATTACTCCTTGTCTATACAGGCTGCAGAAACGCCAGCAGCAGCTCCCGTCTTCCATCAGTGTCTACACAGGGTTGTTCATCCACAGCACTGCTGTGCACTAAAGGTATTTTGGCAATGCTCACAACTTACAACAAAGTCATTGTACAGTATACACTTTGAAAATAATAAGGGGAAAATAATCTTGAAGTGTTAAAATAATAAACCAAGAGAAGTTTCAGCTTTTACATGGTTGGTGTATCATTTCCATCAGACCTGTGTGAGACAGACGACTGAAAGGAATGGCAGAAAATTGTCAAGTTAAAATTAGCATTAAAGTATCAATTTTGCAGTTACAGTAGAGCTGCAACAACTAGTTCATGACTTGATTAGTTAGTCTCTGATTTCAGCTTCCTAAATGTGAATATTTTCTAGTTTCTGTGCTCCTCTATGACAATAAACTGAATATATTTAGGTTGTTGACAAAAGAAGCCATTTGAGGATGGGGCCTAGGGTAAGGGAAATGTCCAAATCTTCTGATTTCAGCTTCTCAAATGTGAATATTTTCTAGTTTCTAGACATATAAAAATAAATATTCCAGCTGTTGAATATGTAGTATCTGTTCATATATATACACCCATTTAATATCTCTCTATGGCTTTTACATTCATTGTCTCATCAGGGACATTGCATGCAGAAGGATTCATCAGAGACACTTGTCAGAGATACTTGATTTTGACACAGTTATTGGAATTAAAATTTATGCCTACTCTACATATTTTATTTCTGTGGAATTTGCAATAGATTTTGTACGAGCATCTGAGTTCAGATCAATGCTAAAATTGGTTATGTTAGTATTAACATTAGTATAAGTACTGTATAAATATGTATGAGACCTGCCCTGTTTTTTACAAAGCAAAAATACAGTAAAAAAAAAAAAAAAACAAGCCAACAGACACGGGCTCGATGTGGGTGTTTGACTAGCTGTTTGTATGGCCGGCAGGCTGGCAGTGTGGGCAGTGGAGTGTGTCAAAGAGGTGTTATGTGTTTGTATTTGTATGTGAGTGAGTGTGTGCGTGTATGTGTCTACTGTTTATGTTGAGAGAGTTTTCTGTGAGGGTCCTTCAGAGCGGTGCAGCAGGGCACAGTGGCTGTGGCTCCGGAGAGCTCTCAAACCGATCCAGCAATGTCAGCCTGACATTTTCTTCCTCAGAGTCTTTGTTTTCCTCGCTCTCTCTTATTGTTTTTCTCTCTTCCCTTCTTCTCCTCACTGTCTCTCTCCTCTCAGTTTTTCACCATCTATTTCTTCCACGTCCTCTCTTTCTGTGGCTCTGTTTTCCTATTTTTACCTCTCTCTCTCTCTCTCTCTCTCTCTCTCTCTCTCCCTCTCCCCCAGCAGGAAGAGGGGGGTGTAGGAGGTGCTCCTCAAAGCGGCAATACACCGATAATTGCTTTCTGGTCACTGTGACACGACAAGGTCCACCAGGGTAAAGGAACACACTCACTCACACAGACTGGAAAAGACACACACTATAATACAGAACCCACAAGATTGAATGCACAAAGGACCACTTGTAGAAAGACACAAAAGCGGCACAAAACACACACAGAAACACTCATAAATACACACAGTAACAGACATATCCAAACTGAAATAATTAAAAAAATTGATGGAGCAGAAAGGCTTTGCAATGAAAGAAAACCAGCCCATCTGACTTTCTCTACAGTGCTTCTATTATGTGTCTCAGTGCTTACACACAGTGTAACAAGGTGGCTGAAAATATTACAGCAACTTACTGCCAGCTGGCCACCAAGGTACTGCAACACTTTTTCAGTAATGTTACTGGATTGATTGTTTGCAGTGCTGCAGTTAAAGTATATTTGATTCCCTGTAAAGCAAATCACAGTACATAGCTGTAATGACATTACTGTCATTTAAAATACTTTGCTTAATCAGAAGAAATCAATATACTAGAATTTTCTTTCCCTTTGACATATTGACCAGTCCTTATTACAATTCTTTCTGAATAACTCTATTAAGACCAGGGAAAGTTTTAAGTGCAGAGAATCTCTGATAACTCCAGATATTTATGGAAAACCACCAACACAATCAACTTAATTAGTTTTCCATTAACATAGTGATAAAACTGGAAAAGGTTCCTGTGGAAAACTCTACTGCTTGCCAAAAAGTTGTTGGTGGTAGATGTCTGAACCAATCCAAAAATCCTCCAAAACATATACTGTATGATAAAATAAGTGGTGCTCAGATTGCTGTCATGAACTGTTATTAAATGGTTATTATTATTATTATTATTATTATTATTATTATTATTATTTGCACTTTGCTTGAAGCTTTGGCAATACTGTTCCATTAACATTCAGGCTAATGAAGCGAATTTAAATTGAACTGAAATGCACGGTACAGTGTCAGTACAGTCACAACTGTAAGAAGAAAAGGTCACTGTATGAGCAATCTACAAGTTAAAATTTTAAAATAAAAAAAGGTGAGGGTGATCCAAAACTGTAAAATCTAGACGGTATATCAACCCGGAAATATTTCAGTATTAAACTGTGAATAGAACAATACTTACAGTTTTCATTGAGTTTCATTATATTTCTTAAAAACAAATTCTTCCATGACATTGCCAGTTTTTGGTGGCCTATTACTTACTGTACGTAGATTTGAAGAAGGGCAGAACCACACACAACAGATGAGTGTTTTCCCTCACAATTGAATTTATGTTCCACAGCAACATAGACTTTAAATTAACTTGTCTCAACATGTAATATTTTGTAATTCACAAAGATTGGTCACACTCTCTCTCTCACACAAACATAAAAACACATTGATACACCCGGCGCCTCCAGTTACAATAGGATTTACATAGTATGAGGCAATTTATAACGAGCTAACTGCAAGTGACAGTAATCTACAGGATCCTGTGACACTACGGGGTCCCGCAATCTAAAGCGACCTTTACAGTTACCTACCACCACACAAACAACTGCGCCCTGGAATTCTTACAAGAGAGTACATAACTATAATACCACAACCTAAAGTGGTTGGGTACCACAAACATTTCTGGGTGTCTGCTGAGTTTGTGCGTAATAAAAAAAATACTTCAAAACCACAGCAGTATGGGAAAAAGTAATGAAGGTGCTGGATTGCAGAGACCTGGAGGAGTACAGCCTCAAGAATTTATTTTCTATTTTCTATTTTCACTTAACTAGAATACTATGGAATTTACAATTGGTCCTCCCAGAAACTTACAATGTAGTGCCACATGTACAAAGAAACAGCTCAGCAATAGTGACTCATTTTCAACTGCTAGATGTTTGTATGTCATCCTGCAACACAGGCATTTCCTACCTGAACATTTACTTCACACTTTAGTTGGTATGATAATAGTCAGACTACAGGACTAACAGACGTGGAGACGGTGCTGACCAGGCTCATGAAGGGAGGGAAAAGTCTTTGCTTAGTTGTGTGAGAACATATTTGATGTTTTTTATATTGCTGTTGTCACTATCAACACACACACATCCAAAGTTGGCTTCCAGGGAAATAGATACCATATAGTCTAAGAATGGCCCAGGGTGTTGGCAGATTGCTGCGATTCAGGGATCGGTCATACACACACACACACACACACACACAGGCAAATAATGATTCATACACCCTTAGTCATGGCCTTTCACCTCAATTTCACTGTCAACCCTCTATCCTCTTTTACAAAATGTTGAATGAGAACTAACAAAAACTCTCTGTCCATCACCTGCACATCAAGTTGTAAGAGTCAGCTGCTGACATCTGCACAAAGTGAATAGAGTAATTATGTTTTCATCTTCCTCTGCTCTCTGTGCTCGTCTTTGTCTCGCTCGCTGTAAAATTCCACACCCCTCGGTGTTGTTTCCTCGTCTCCTCCCTCTTCTTCTCTACCTAACCATAAACCACATTCATCTGTTCACATTAGGCCACCTCCTTATGTTTCTCTCTAGCTCCACCCCCACCCTCCCCTCCTTTCTTCTAACCACAGAACGCTGATAGACAGGTAGCACAGTTTAATTGCCAGCTAACGCCCATATCAGTTTGGAGTCATTTGCAGGTGACTGGCTTAAGTCTGTGCTTGAGATTTTACTATTTGAAAAGTCGATTGATTATTCATTGTTTGGTTCCAGCACCTCACTGAGGAGAATGTGCTGCTTTTCTTTGTCTTATATGAATATTAATTGAATATCTTTGGGTTTTGGACTGTTGTTTGGACAAATAAAAGGACATGCATGCATTGTCATGGCCATATTGCATTACTTTCTAAAAATGTATGGACCAAACAATCAATCAATTGCAAAAAGAATCTGCTGTGAATCAATAACGAAAGTTGCTCTAGATTGATGCATTGATTAATACAGTGATTCCAGCTGTCTGTGTATCCTGTCCTGACCCTGTAGGTTCTGCCCATTTCTGTGTGCATAGGACCTGCGTCATGCTCTCAGCTGCGTCATGTGTAGCTTATCGTTTGCTGTGTCTTGTTTTGTTTCACGTCTCCTGTTGTGTATCCTGTTTATCCTGCACTGTCTTGTCAGTGGTATTTATTCCTGTCACCTGTTTTGTGCTGTTGCCTGACCTGTAAACACACGAGACAAAAGTGCAGTTAAAGCAGTAAATGCCAATGTAAATGTTAACTTCTCGCAAAGTTTTGATAACAATTAGACAAAATATACTTGAATGGTGATTAAAAGCCAGGAAATGTAACTGTGTCAACTTACATTGTTTAGTTTATGTTAAGCTACAAAAATATAGACTGACGTATTACAATAGACCTTTTACAAAACCATCAATTTTTGTTACCTAGGAAATATAATTGTAGATTTATTTTCTTATTTACATCTTCAGGACTACCAAGGAACTTGCATTTTGTTTGCTTGTGCTACAAATAGCTGCTTCCTGAGAGACAAGACACAACTTAATGTGAAACAAAACACAGCACACAGCAACATGAAGTACAATATTATCCCTAAGTTGCTGTATGTGAATGTGTAGATTTGTTTGGGAGGAGATATAGGTGTGTATGTCTGTGTATTTCCGGATGTGTATTTTAGTGCACCTGTTGGTTCGTTCAGCAGCTGCCTTTCATGCTCATTTCACTGAACAAACATATACTCACACGGCATCAACACAAACAGCAGACTATTTTCTTTATCTTCCTCTTCCTCTATCAAATACTGCCTTGTTTCCACACACACACACACGGGGGCATACACACACACACTTGGCAGCTATTTGGAACATGCAGGAGACAGAAAAAGACCCACCCATAAGGTGAGCCGGAGGTTAGCTCTCCTTCAGGCGTTTACTGTCAATGATGAACACACACACACAGCCTGCAGTTGTGTTCCTCATGCTTGCAGTCTCTTTAAAGTTTATAGAAGAATTTAATCAGTTTACAGCATCTACACACATATCCCATTGAACACACACATTCCTTCCTGTCTAAATGGTCTTTAAAGGTTACAAGAGTTTGTGTAGCAACTGTAAACACACATATAAGCACACAATTTGTAGTCATCCACTGTGGGTGTTGCCTTCAGAACTTAAAGAGTCCAAGCTGCAGTTAAACTAATATTTATTCCTGCTGAGAGATTATTTGCACAGCTCTCTTTACCCCCTTTTTTCACCAACATTTCTCTTTCATGTCTGCCCCGGCTCTGTATTAACATGCAGAGAAATTACCCTCATACATCTGAGTGTCTGTTTCTTGTCACTGAATCTCTTTATACTTCCTTAAAATGTGAAACTAAAGATGGTGTGATGGTGTGTGTGTGTGTGTGTGTGTGTGTGTGTGTGTGTGTGTGTGTGTGTGTGTGTGTGTGTGTGTGTGCGTAGATGTATATGTGTGTGTTACCTGAGAACACCTGTGTGCTGTACTGCAGTATTTCAGATCTGAAGGCCTGCCACGCCTCCATCAGCTGGCTGAGGAAACCCCGTACATCTGCAAGCTCACTGGCAGAGGAGTGGAGCATGGAGAGAGTGGCTCGCAGGGCCTGCTGCTGCCGCACACACGCACATCTGACAGGCACAAACACACACACAACTTTTAAAATTAGTTTTAACACATTTCAAAACTGGCAGTTTCCAGGAGAGCATTTAATATTGTAATAGTATTTCATTGTTATGTCACAGATTAAAATATCTTAACATGTTATGGGAGCTGTCACATAAAGATTGAGACCGTACTGTTCATAGCTACCTAGGTAGCTGTTAACAAGTGCTGTTAAAGTGACAAGTGTATGAATAGGACAACATTAACCATTAAAGGTGTGGCTCAGAAAGACGGTACTTGGAATCCCAAACTGGAGGGGGAATTCTTTCCCTCCTTAACTATGACTCTTATCTCCAATTGCTCCAGAGGTGTTTATCAGAGTGTAAGAGCTGAAGACTGGGGTAACTACTCCCTGGTGTGAATGTGTGTAACTGTGGGCTTTTGAAGCAGAGGATTTCTATAAAAAGAGCATACTGCACATTCTGTGACAACACTCCCTGGATAGATCAAGTTTTATTTTTTTAAATGCAGCTGCTCTTTCACTGCAAAGTGCCCAGTTGTTAATAAATACTGTATGTCAGGGCTTACAAAGCCACGCAGTAGTCACAATTACACCTTCTGTGTAGTATTTCAGTCTGACATTAACCGATCTTACAATTAGTTTCATGACATTTAAATATGTGAGACAGATAAAACGTGGAAGTATGTAAACAACACACAAGAACTGAGCCTGCACAAAACAAATCCAGTTTGCAAGTCAACATTTGAGAGTGTGCAGACACAGATTCCTAAGAGCAGAATCAGTTTTATTAGCATGCAGTCCTGATCCTGTGCGTGCTCGTCATTTCTGTGTTCACTCTCTATTTTTTTGACAGATTCTGAGCACCTGAGATCGCATCCATGTTTGACTAGAAAGCTTCAATAGAACATGTTAGAGACATGTCTTAAGCTGAATGGCCACAGGGTGCAGCTGTATGGAGTTCTGACTGTATAAGTATTTATATACATTCACAAGTGTCACACTTCAGAGAGCTGTTTAAGCAAAAATAGACCCAGCACATAAAGATAGTTGAATGGGAAAAGAGCCACACGTGAGACACATACATTATACACGGTCTGCACGGGTTAAGAAGGGCTAAACCCACAATGTCCCTGATTTAAGTTCAGCTGGGTATCTATGTTTCATTTTCTCTCTCTCTCCACATATTTCTTGTCTGCCTCTCAACTATACATCATCAATTGTTGACAAAAATGCCCCAAAATTATTTCTTGAAAATGATAAAAAGAGGAAGGAACACGATGACTTATTTGCCTACAAGACATCAAATATTAGCAAATGACTGGGCTTTAAAAGTGTAGCTAATTAAAAAAAGATTGAAAATCAATGTAGGAGAGGTACCAACCACTTCAGACTACTTATTAATTCATTAATTTGTCTCTGAAAATTACTCTGTCATGTTTGCTAATTGATTTGCCAACATATGAAACAATTTAGCATCAGCACATTTTGATTTTGAAGAACAAAAGTACTGGCAGCAAGTACTTCTTCATCTCTCCACTTGATTGTTAAAAAACGCAGCTGTACCACCTTTTATTTTGACATCCAGTTCAAACAGCGTAACTCTTAACACGCGGGTGAAACAGATTACGCTCTCCTTTCAGTTTGAGCTAGCATTCAAAGTGAGAGTAAGCAGCTAATAATTATGAGCAAAACAAGCCTTATCGCTTGCTCAAATGTAGCTGCACAAATCCCCTTTGCTACACTGACGATTCTGTCCTTACTCGCCTAAAAAATCTAAATCGGCTCTTACAAATTTGTGCCTGAACGCTCTCAAAAGACTTACACAGCGCTTGAATTGTTACCAACTTATTTTTTCATTTACTGGTTTCCACAGAAACCAGGGAATGGATTGCAGGTAGAAAAAGAAACTGATCATTAATAAAGAAGAAAAAGGAGGCAGGACATATAATAAATACAAAAGGTGAATATAAGAGATACGTATATAAAAGGAAAGTGAGGACTGTTGTTACCACATTGTCGTTAAAAAGGGCACAGCCATGTTTTACAGCTCCCTCCCTGTCCCCCTCCTCCATCTCTCCCACTCTCAAAGAAATATGTTCAGGCAAAAAGCACTTTGAGCAACATGAAAGATCACTAGCCCAGCTCGCAAAGTCCCACACACACACACACACTATCAAGTCACAAACCCATGCAAATCGTGGATATGGAAAACTAGAGCACTAGAATAGAACATTCTGTTATTCCATGAACACTTTTGAAGGAACATGTGGGTGAGAACAGTTTCCTATTTTCTTATACACACACATGGCTACACTGCAACCATGGGGGACATACAGAATCTCACAAAAGTGAGTACACCCCTCACAATTTTGCAAATATTTGATTATATCTTTTCATGTGACAACACTGAAGAAATTACACTTTGCTACAATGTAAAGTAGTGAGTGTACAGCTTGTATAACAGTGTAAATTTGCTGTCCCCTCAAAATAACACATAACACAGCCATTAATGTCCAAACCGCTGGCCACAAAAGTGAGTATACCCCTAAGTGAAAATGAGAGAGAGTGAGATACTGTCCATGTAGTTAAACACACAGACCTGCAGGAAGACACACAGGCAAATATCGTGAACACGGCTGGGTCCTGCGTGCAGAGTGATGTGAGTTTTTGAGAGCTCAGCAGGGTTTGAGTGGTTGTTGTTTTTCGTATTCAGGGTTTGTGGCTCATGGTGATCAAAAATGAACGGATGAGAGGGGAGACTGAGCTGCTCCGTGGTGCCTGGGAGTGTGTATGGGTGAATGCATGCAGAGTGAAGGAGAGCATGGGCACTGCTTGTCACGAGAGCCAGTTTTATAATGTCAAATGACATAAATCATAAGGCTGACAGCACCAAATGGCAGATTTGAGCTAGATCTGTTATCGGTGATAAGAAGATAGAGACTGCATACGTTCGCTCACCCAATGGTTTAGTCATTTAGCAGCTTTCAATTTCAGTGGCCTGATTGGAAAGCTCTCATTTTCCCTGACGTCTCATCTCCTCCCCCCCACTCTCTTCACCTCCACCTCTGCTCTGCTCTGCTCTGCTCCTGTCACGACTTTTTCAATCTCTTACTTTATTTCCAGGAAATAACCAGTGGGTCAGCTGAATAAACCTTCACTCTGTTTTTTTCCATTCTCCTCTTTATTGTTTTCTGTCTATCATCTCACACAGTTGTTTCCCATCTGCTCAGGCCTTCCTGCCGTGCATCTGGTTAAGGAGCTGACAGCCAATCAGAATGATGCAAACCCATGCTCTGTTTTTTCCCCCCTCTTTTGTTTTTGTGTTTCACCGCCACACTGCTTTACTAAACCTTAATCACGTCGCCCAACCCCCCACTCCCTCATGTAATTTTGTCTTTATTTGTCTCTCCTCTCTCGTGTTATTTCCTCACCTGAGAATTTCACCTTGCTGCTTCTCTTTTCCAAGTAACCGCTCTGCCTCCTCCTTCGCAGAAGCTGCTAGCGCCAGCCTGTCGGGGCAGAAGAGGAGAATGGAAGAATGAGGGTGAAAAGTCGTGTGCAATATTAGAGAACATAAGCCTAACGTAATGCCACTGTGCTCCCATGGAGTAAAATGAGCTTATAGATGATGCAACTTTAATGATGGAGAGGATGATCGTGATGAAATGGAATGAGATGAAAAATTAAAAAGCTCATTGAGGGCTTCCCTCTCCAGCTCATTGTCTCTTGTTTCAGATAAGGCAAAACATAGTAAATTATTTGAATGTGAGCAGAGTCAGCAAAGCAAAATGGAATTGATGTGCAAAATAGAATAAATTGAACAGGAAAAGAAAGTAACTTAATTACTTTCAAAGTGCTATGGATCTTGAGAGTAGCTTTGAGGTGCAGGCATGATAACAGACTAAAAAAGTTAGTGTCCTAGTGACCACAAATAAGCACTGACAGTCAGACAGAGGAATAAACATTATGCGCAGGAAGTATTACAAGGAGCAGACTAGAAAATGGAGACTAAAACCAGACAGGTAATTATCATGACCAACAAAACTTAATCAAGAAGTGTAATTTTAATGAGATGCAGTGATCCCGCCAGGGGATTTTCTGCTTATTGGCAGCACTTTAGAAACAAACGTGAGGCAAGTCAATTGGAGGTTTAGGAGAGACATTTCCAAGATATTGATGCTAGTGATTCCCCTTTGATAGGCAAGAGCTTTTGCGATTTGTTGTCTGCATGCTGACAGATCTCTGTGGTGAACTTACACTTTACTGATGAGAAATAACATTATATTAAACTATGATACAGTTAACTATATAACTTAAATGACGGAACAATTTCAAGCAACCCGAAAGAGTCTAAATTTATGCTGCTGCTACAGCCATGTCATATTCGGTCGGTGCTGTAGGCCAAGTTATATTCAAAATATCTGATGCTACACTAACTGCAGAATAGGCAGTGGGCAATCTACTGTATATTGCTACATAGATAGTCCTGCTTGCCAGGCTGAAGTAACAATGTCAGCGTTGACATTACATCAAGGACACATACTGAATCAAGAAAAAGACGTGTACACATCATGATAAGTATTTCACTTACTCCTATCTATTTTTACTCCAGTAGGGGACTAACTGGCATCATTATCTAAATACTGCTACTTTAGTGACCCCAAAACACATGAACAGTCTTAATGAAAGGTGAATCTAAGCTTATAGGTCCATTTATGAATGATTCATAGCTCTCAACTGCTTTATGATCACTTGTTATCACATTTAGGTCATGTTGATGACATCTGAGCCAGCTCCCTTCGCTGAATGAAGAAATAGCTAAACGCTCGGAATCACTAGTGAGTACATATTGCCCCCAAAGGTCATGAGTGATCATCCATGCACAGAACAGCAGTCTTATTTGAAGAATACGATTATCATGCTCTGATGGTTACATTCTGATTTATGTAAGATAACAGAGGTGTTTATGTGTGTATGTGAAATTAAATGTTGCATTTTGTGCACACATCTGTGTGTTTAAATACATTTTATATATGTCCTCCTTTTCTTTTTCTATGAATGTCAGTTCTGTGTTTGTTCATGTAATATATTGCTGCTACTTTGGCCAGAACTGAGATCCTCTTGGTTAAATAAAGGTCAAATAAAACACACGTTTTCTCTTAATGAATAGTATATACAGTAGGGAGGCTGGGAGCAGAGTGGGGTGAAAATGGGTTGAGCAAATGTGCATGTTTCCAGTAATCCTACCTGTATGCATACTTGTTGACTGTTTACAAGTAATCAAGTATGCATGTGATTGTCGTTTAGCTGATGTAACTATGTGTGTGTGTGTGTGTGTGTGTGTGTGTGTGTGTGTGCGTGTGTGTGTGTACGTGTGTGTGTGTGTGTGTGTGTGTGTGTGTGTGTGTGTGTACGTGTGTGTGTGTGTGGGTGGGTGTGAGACAGAGCAAGTTGCATTTTTCTGTGTACATTTTAGCCTGTTTATGTTTTACGTTGACCAAGTCTCAGTGAGCCTGTGATCTTGTGTGTTTGTACCCCTGTGTGTTTATGTGTGTGTATTTTTTGCGTGCCTGCCTTTGCTTCTTTTCGAGTGATGGCAGCCCAGATTCCCACTGTTCACCCATCTGTCCCCACCAGTCCCAAAGCGAGATCAGAAAGAACACTGCCTCGAGAGGGGTGTGTGTGTGTTTGTGTGAGTGTGTGTATTTTGAATACGAATCTCTGTGTGCTCTGTGTGTGCGTGAGCTTGAGCTCCTGTTCCCAGGGCAGTGGCTGTCAGTGGAATAACTAGGTAGCGCAGTGCCAGTGAATGCGTGCCAGATTAGAGTACCCCCCTACCAGCAGCCCAAATCAACTGCCTCATCAGGACATGTCACACACACACACACACACACACACACAGACACAGAGGACACGCTATTAACACATACACACGAACAGTCATGCACACACATCAGCAACAATGATCTGCCAGCCACAGTGTTATCGTGACCTACCACGTGAAATCTTTGTTTAATTTTTTTTTGGAGTGTGTATGTGTTAAAGAGTTTACCAGTTTCGTGCTCCTTCATATTTTCAGAGATTTGGACTGAAGGTCAACATAACAAAGCCAAACCTAACTTCCTCTAGTAGGCTTATTTTAAGCCCCAGATTGTGTACAAAATGTTCTGTTTTTTGATCTGTTTATCCTCATTTTAGTACTGGAGTGATTGTAATGTTGCTATTGCTGGCCTTTAATTTTGGCACATCTTTACCCTTTGTATCAACATCTACAAATAATATCTTCAAGCCAGGGGGCTTGAAGATATTATTTGTAGATGTTGGTTGATATATACATATATAAATACAAGCAACAAAACGTCACAATTAAAAGCAAAGATGGCTTTGCTTTTAATTGTGATGTTTTGTTGCTTGTATTGTTTTTACTAGTTTACTGTGTGAGTATCAGTGTGTACAACAAAATTTTACTGTTTTATCTCTTATTATTTTTCTAGAAGCACAACCACAGAAGGTGCCGTTTTTACTGGGAATCATCAGTGGTGGCCTCAAATAAACAGCCAAAACAAATTTGGTGCAATTCCTTGTTCAGCCACAAGAGACCATCTCTCAACAGTGATCACACATTGTTGCTGCAACACTGGTCTTCACCTTGAAATGATTGCGAAACATTTACTGCTCCGGGCCTTTTGACATTGGTCAGGGTGAATTTGATATAGAGCTATTAAGTGATCATGTATGAGCGCATGACCTAAATTTAGAAAACATTTGTGTACATATTTATACATCTGTTTGTATCTTTAACCCTTTGTTAGAATATTGTTGCATAAAGTATGCCAGAGAGTGAAAGGTGCGACAACCACCCCCACCTTTATGAAAATGAACCATAGTATTACTATAGTTATATTATAAGAAGTGTCCTATGGTAAGTTTGTAGTCTTTTATAGTTTTATAAGTTTTTTTTCTGTATTAGCTTTCAATAGTAATACTATGTATAGATCTGTGTAGTATTCCTATATAAACAATATATATATACTCCACAATAAGATCACCATAGCCACCTCAATAGTATTAATATAGTAAGTATAGTATACTATAGTAAGTAATTCTTCATAGTAATACCATAGTGATTTTGTAAGGGAAGTCTCCCCTACGCATGCCACACAACCAGTTCATCATAGTTTATCATAATGCAGCGCAGTGAGGATACAGATGTTTTATAGTGGAGAGGAGCGTCTCGCTCTCTCTCTCCTCCTTTCTCTATCTCCCTCTCTCTCGCTCCCTCACATTATCAATTGATGGTTTTTATAATGTCTGGTTTTAGGGGTGCTGAGGGGGTTGCAGCAAACCTTATTTCCATGTCCACTTCTTTACACACATTGAATGAAATAAGTAGTTTTTTTTAAGAGCGGGTGAATTATTCAATCCTTGACTGTCAGTTGGCACCCTTCGCAGGGCGTAGCCATTTCAACTGAAATGGGTAAAACATAGCACAGCCGCCAATGCTGGCATTTTCTGTCACCATTAGAAGTGTTATAAAAGCTTCCACATATCAAAGCGTCATCTGTTCGCCTGCTGTGTGTGCGCATGTGTGCAACGTAAAAAGAGTATTTTGATCAACATCATCACGCCTGAACAATCAAAGCTAAAAGCCATTTTACTTTGACCAAAAAGAAACAGAAACATAAAGCAATACACCTACGCCAAAAGACAGACACATTAATACACACAAAAACTTGAAGCCGTTTAATTATATCAGTTAATGCCTCATCAGTTAGCCATAATCCTTTAGTGAAAATCATACTGTGTGTCTTACTGTATGTGTGTGTGTGTGTGTGTGTGTGTGTGTGTGTGTGTGTGTGTGTGTGTAGTGTGACACCAGCTTGTATATGTTTTGTTTTTAAGTTATCTGGTAACCATGTAAGGGATGCCATAACAATGATCATGATCATCAAAACAGCACACATGGGCACACACATACATGCACACAAGTACAAAGTACAAGCAAAAACAATGATATTATATTATGACTAACTGCATTAACTCAAAGGATATGAAAAGCATTTGTCCTCCAGCTTGTCAATTTTAATTAAAATTAGAAAAGCAGTTGTGTCTCACTGTGTTTCATTTGTATGTGTGGGTTGCTATGCTACTGCTCCAACATTTTACTGTTGATTACCAAATAAACTTTGTCATATTGTGTGTGTGTGTGTTCTTAACACTTTAATATTGCTGTTTTGTTTATCTTGTTGTCATGAGCCCCACAGTAAAGTTAAGCCACCATTAGAGCTGAATAGAGATCATCTTCTATCACAGACAAGGTAGTGTGTGTGTGTGTGTGTGTGTGTGTGTGTGTGTGTGTGTGTGTGTGTGTGTGTGTGTGTGTGTGTGTGTGTGTGTGTGTGTGTCAGTCTGTTTGATGTGGTAATGTGAACTTGAAGTTGGATCTGTGCTAATACCTCACATGTTGGTTTTAGAGGGTGTTTGATTCTGTACATTTTATGCTTGACAT